GACGCCTGTAATCCCAGCACTTTAGGAAGCCGAGGTGGGTAGATCTGACCAGCCTGGCCAACACGGTGAAATCCTGTCTTACTAAAACTACAAAAGTTAGCTGTGCGTGGTGTCACATGCCTGTAATCCCAGCTACTCTGGAGGCTAAGGCAAGAGGATCATCACTTAAACCCAGAGGCAGAGGTTGCAGTGAGCTGAGATTGCATCATTGCACTCCAGCCTGAGTGACAAGAGTGAAACTCCATCTCAAATGAAACAAAACAAAAACAATTAAGTCTTAAAAAGACAGCCTGAGGTTGCATTATTCCAAGTCTGTGAACCAGGATTCAAATCCAGATTTGTCATTCTCACTGCCACTTGATTTTAGTGACCCAGAGTGTACTAAAGACCCATTGTCATCAAATTCACTCAAGTGACCAGTTTGTTTATGATTCAGAGCCTAATTTCCTGCTATACTGGATTCTGATACACACTACATTCAAAGAATCATGCTGAAAGGACTAAATGCAATCAAAGAAAAGCATGAGAATTACAAAATATCTACTGGTGGTCTCTTGAAACAGCTAAGATGAAAGATTTAAGATTAAAGGCACCAAAGTGCCTTAATCATGTAAACTGACTGTTGAGTGTCCTAATGATTCACAGTGAATTACCTCCTTTGTGGGGATACTTAAAGATGTTTGAGGTAACCAGCTAGGTGCAGGGGATCACACCTGTAATCCCAATGCTTTGGGAAGGCAAGGTAGGAGACCGGCCTGGGCAACATAGTGAAACACCCTCCCCAGTGAAACAACTCTCCTCCCCTACCACCCCTGCCCACACAATATATATATTTTTAAGTTAGCTTGTTGTGGAATGTGTCGCTTGAGCCTGAGAGATGTGATGGCACCACTGGACTCCAGCTTGAGTAACAGAGTGAGACTATCTCTAAAAATAAATAAATAAAATAAGGTAATCAAAGGTTTTGTTTTAAAAAGACACATAGCATCACCGATGCATGGATAAATAAAATGTGGTGTATCTACACAGTGGAGTATTATTCAGCCTTATAGAATGAATGATACATGTTACAACATGATGTGACAGTGGCAGGAGACAGGCAAATGCCCAGGCAGGTAGGGCAGGTCCCCAGTGAAACCCCACCTCCAAGCCAGACAGTTAAAGCCTGAAAGCCAAGCTAAAAGTCAAATCCACGGACTGGATTGAGAACATGTCTTGCCATTTGGCACGCTTTCCTTTGATTGGTCCCCATATTTCACCTCTTTTACATATACCTACCCTTTCCTAATTGGTTTTCTACACTGTCATGCCCACCTTTGAGTAGTGTCTTTGCTTTGACTTTTTTTTGCATACTCACAGTTGGTACACACTCCCTATTCTGAGCCCTTGAAAGTCCCGGACCCAGCCACACTGAGAGAGAAACCACCTAACCATGGAGGTTGGGGACCACTCCCATGTCCCCTCTCTGCTGAGAGCTGTTCCATCACTCATTAAAATTCTTCTCTGCCCTCCTCACCCTTCAAATCATCAGCATATCTTTATTCTTCTTGGATGTGGGACAAGAGTTTGGGAACTGCCAAACACGAGTATAAGCCTTAACACAGGAAGACTGAGTGGGCGTGGCACCTCCAGAGACAGGCCTAGGGCTAAATGAGGCCCAGATAGCCGGGGAGCATTGTCGGACGTGGAGGTCCCTGGTTGGCAAAGTGGCTGAGAAAAATCCTGCATCAGATGAACCTTGATAACTTTATGCTAATCGAAAGAAGCCAGACATAAAAGGCCACATGATACATCATTCCACTTATGTGAACTATCCAAAATAGGCAAATCCATGGAGACAGTAGATGAGTGGGTGCCAGGGGCTGGGTGCAGTGACCACTTAATGCATATGGGGTCCTTGCAGATGATGACAATGTTCTGTAAGTAGACAGTGGTAGTGATTGTATAACATTGTGAATGTACTAAGTGCCACTGAATTGTACATTTTGAAATGGCAAGAATGATAAATGTTATGAGTATTTCACCACAATTAAAAACAAAATCAGTGAACTGGAAAATAGAAAATGGTGGTTGTACTTCTTAGTTGCTTTTTAAACAAAATAAATAAGCTTAACTCTATCACACTTAATAAAGTACAGAGATCTAATGTACAACATAAGGACTACAGTTAATATTTTATTTGCAATTTTTGCTAAAAGAGTAAATTTTAGGTGCTTTTGCCATAATTGTGTAAGACATTAATATGTTAACTGCCTTGACTATAGTAGTCCTTTTACTTTGTATATGCATATCAAAACATCATGTATACCTCAAACATATACAATAAAAAATAAATTAATTTTTTAAAATAAGGAGTTTGTAAACCTTACATTCATTGCACAGGAACAAAAAAGTTGAAACAAATGTATTACATAAGAATTACAGGCCATTCTACAGGAAAAAAGGGTGAAGCAAATGTGTTTAAGAAATAGAATTATGATGTACACAGATATAAAAAATCGATGCATAATACTGAAAACACTAACATGTTACCTCCTGGTAAGAAGAGAGGGTGAAATGTGGCCACTATTGCCCAGTTTGGCTGCAGTTGGACAAGAGATTTCTCTGGGCTGCTGGTGCTGGCTGTTACCCAGCAGGCAGGGCACGCCTGGCGTGTGAGGTCTATGGCTATGTTTGAGGAATCTTCTGCTGCTTTCTTTAGGGCATAAAAGCAACTGGCACATTCATGGCAGCTCATGGAGCCATTCCCTTCAGGCAGCTGCTCTCCTTTCACAGCCGTGTGTAACCCACATAGTAGCCTTGGCATTCATCTGGACAGTGGTGTGGAAAGTGATTTCATCCTACTGTCTTGCCTGGCCTTTAACAGTTGGAATGGTTCCCTAGACCCAAGAATACATATGCTCAACTTTTAGAAAATAAGATGCTAGGGGAAGTTCCTAGCCAGCTTCCAAGGCATTGGTGCTGCCAGATGTGGCTTTTTGGCTGAAAGTTCTGCTCCCAGCTTGGTTCCTGCATCACTGCCCAATGTAACCTGTGTCTATTCCTGCCCCTCACAGCTCTTCTCCTCCTGTAGGCTGAAATGCTTCCTGTACTGCCAGGTCCAACTCAAGCCCTCCTGTACTTAGAATTTCTACCACACCATTTTTGCATTTCATTGTTTTTGTGCCTGGGAATTTTATCTCTTTCAACCAGACGGCAAGTTTTAAGGGGGCCAGAGCTTTTTCCTTGCAATTTTGGAGTGTCCCACAGTGGCATACAGTCTTTACTGCCTTCCTGATGCCCTCTATTCTAACTGCACCCTGATTTTCCTTTGCTGGGTCTTCCTGTCACCATGAATGACTCAAGGCCAGACATGAGACTTAATTTCTGCCAATGAGAATCATCGGTCCTGGGCGTTCACTGGAGCTCCTGGTAAGGGACTCCCTTTCTCTAGGAGTTTTAAACTAATAGAAGCTGCTGGGGACCACTGTTGCCAATTTTGGTGATACTCGTTTGAGAATAAAGCCACACAGAGGAGACAGAGTTGGGACACTGAGAAAAGTCCTGATGGCATGGTTTGAGGCTCGGTCATGAGAGCCACAACTTCCCTTCTTGTTGCTGGCTGGTTGCTTCCAGCTGAAGGAATACCAATGTACCTCTCAGCATTTGCCACCTGCACAGAATAGGCACAAAATATTTACTTGACCTGCTGATGGTTTGTTTGCAGGTGTAGCTAGAGTGGTTACGTGAAATATTCATATTTTGCATTTAAAAGTTTTTATTGTGGTAAAATCCATATGCCATTTATCATTTTAGCCATTTTAAAATGTACAACTCAGAGGCATCAAGTATATTCACTGTGCACCATCTCCACTCTCATTTCCAGGACTTTTCCATCATCCCAAGCAGAAATTCTGTACCCATTACACACCAGTTCCCCATTCCCCCTTCAACCCTTGACAACCGCTGTTCTACTTTCTTTGAATTTGACTACTCTTGGTAGATAAACAAGGTACATGAAACTAAAACAATAACTGCCACTTTGTGACTGGTGTATTTCACTTAGAATAATGTCCTCAAGGTTCATCCATGCTATAGTAGGTCAGAATTCACTTTTTTAAAGGCTGAGTAGTATCCCTCTCTATGTATATACCACATTTTGTTGATCCATTCATCTGTCAATGGAAAACTGAGGTGTTTCCATCTTTTAGTTATTATGAATAATGCTGCTGTGAACATGGGTGTGCAAACACCAGTTTGAGTCCCTACTTCCAGTTCTTTTGGGTGTATATCCAGGAGTGGAATCCTTGTATCTTATGATAATTTTATGTTTAACTTTTTAAAGCAGCAATATTGTGGGCCATTTTACTTTCCCACCAGCAGTGCTCAAGTGTTAATCTCTCCACATCCCTGCCAACACTTGTTGGTTTTTATTTTTTGAAAATATTTCAGTTTAAAGACGAAGCTGCGGTAATGCTAGGATAGCCTATTACAGTAGCTCACCCAGATAAGAAGGAAATTGCTGGATTAATGAAACAGTAAATGAAATATTAACACCAGAAACTTCAGCCCGAAATCATTCTTTTTGGGCTCTTCAGTAGCACCACTTCTTTGCAGGCTTCTCCGCCACCGAACACTGACGGGTGGGCTGAATCTCAGGATCAGAGATGGAGAGGCCTCTTCTGGAGTTATTGGCCACTCCCTCTCTCCTAATGAGCAGAGCGGGCAGAGAAGCCGCACATACTCTGATTTTAGGTAACCAGTTTCCTCACATCCCTGCCCGCAGAACAGTTTTGACTTCAGTAAAGCCGTCTCTCTATCCTAGGACTCTCTTACAGAGAACAGTAAAACTGCAACATGATCTTGTACCCAAAGAGTGCATTCCCAGCAAGACATGTCAGCAGCTGTTGCCTCTTTACATGATCGCCTCTCTCCTTCATTCCCCTAGCTATGGAAAACTTTCCATCTGAGTCCTTAGGAAAAGATGGAGGGTGTGTAACAGATGAGAGGCTGAGACACGCTGCCATCTCGGAAAGGCTTTATTTCTACTTCATCATGGTCTCATACAGACTCAGAGGCACCATCATGTGTTTCCATTTGGTATCCTCGTGACTTTTTGTAGTGTCTTCCCTTAAACAAGAAAATTTTGAGTAAACGCTGTACATTGCCAGTTAATCTTTTCACAATAATTTAAAAATGTCGTTGCTGTTGTATCATCGATGCAAGAAGACCAACAATAAAAGTACAGTACAAGGAATTTCACGACATATTACAGTGGAATAGACTGAGTCACATTTAGGTGGTGGCGAGGACACAGTAGCGGTATATACATGCACCCGAAGACGTGCAAGCCGAGTAAGATAATATATGGATGATACAGTGACTTTTCTAAGCCCACTGAGGACTTCGTACCCTTTCAAAAATGTCCTGTATTCCCTCCAGTATACAGAATATCTGTCTTGTCTACTGGCTTTGTGGCATTTTCACTACAAAAAGTTCACTGAATCAGACAGTCTGAAGCATTAAAAAATTCTTAAAAAACAGTAACTCTGACAAAATAAAATTAACTTAATCCACTCTAATTCAACACGGAAATAAACCAAACCGAAATCTAACAGTGCAAAGTTAACAGAGAGGCAGTCAGGTATTGACAGCAAGAGTGTTCAGAATTTCTTTAAATGTACATTTTTTAAAACTTTTATTTTTAAATCTATTTATACCTTATTTACCTTTTTAATATATTGTGTATAAAAAAGATGGAGACAAAAATAGTTTTCTGAGCTATGAAAAAAATTAAGTTATTACAGGCACATTTACTGTTTCATTCTGGAAACATCTCAGTTTCACAGGTTGAACATTCAGCAGCTGTGTGTTTTTAAAAACATTCTTTGACCTTGAGAAAACTAGATCTCTCCTTTTGGGCAGAGTTTTTTTTGTTCATGGCGATGGTGTGGTTATGCAAATTACAGTGAATTATACTGTGATAATCCATGCAAGCTTGCATCATGGTGTGGCTTCTCCTCGGGTGGCTCCTCACCACCGTGTTCCTCTGAGGACGTCAGGTCTCCGGGTGACTGAGGCTGTGAGGCAGTGGGGGAATGTGGGGCCCAACGGGACGGAGGGCGACGGTTTGCTGGTCTCTCCGGCCTGGAGAAGCAGGGCTCTAGGGATGGAGCTAGTGCAGAACAAGGTAGTTCCTTCAGAGCCGAGAAAAGGAGACAGGGTTACTCAGACTGGCAGTGTCACCAGTGGATGATTCCCCTAAATATACTTCTCAACAGACTCAAGTGAGATGGAGTATGCACCACGAGCAACTTGTGAATATTAACTACTTTCTATGCTCATGCAGAATAACTTAAAATGATAAAAAATTCAACACAAATGATCAGCGATATGAATGGGAAGCGACCAATTATGATAAAACACAGCAATACTGGGAGATGAGTCAGGTTGCAAAGCTCCTTTAGAATTGGCCTGGGGTATAAAGAAGACAGGCAGAGTGACTGTGGCAGCGGTCTCCACAGGCCACTTCATCGTATTCCCATCTGGTAGGTCTCTTCATCTGGCCCTTTCTAACGATCTATTTAGCTACAGTGGACAAGCGAACTGGTCCTACAGGGCCTGGATCTACTGGGAGCCCACAAAGCGACCTGTGATTTTACTCAGCTGGGTTAGCAACGGCAGTCATCTTAAAACGAACTCTGCTACTGTTTATTTGAAATTGACTGGCAGTAGATTAAACAAACTCCCACAACACGGCAAAAATGCTGCAGGCAGAAATTTTAATTTGGGTCTAGTTTTCTTTAATGACTCTTCAATTGCAGCAGCATTTTAAAAAAGTAGAATCAGAACGTACGTGTGGTTTTGTGTTAACGGCATCTTAATGTTCTGAGAACAGGTGATGCAAGACACTCCACCGGGAGCAAATCACCTAGGATCCTTACTCTCAAGCTACTTTGTTTTCAAGAATGTTGCGCTCCTTGTCCTTACTCTACATGCTACAAAACCAGGACACCCAAACCTGGAATTTGCCGACACACCGAAATGTAAAAAGCTGTGGCATGAGGAAATTGAGTTGCCCAGCGTGTAGCCCACTGGCTAGAATGACACTCAGACACTGGAATGAGAGGTGAACTGAATGGAAGGCACAGGAAGGATGACAGAGGAAGAAGACCCTCACAGCAAGGAAGTGAGTTGGAGGATTTTAAGAGATGTGACGAGCAATGGAAAAGACCAGGACGCGGAGACCAGCCAGAGGTGCAGGGGAGCGGCAGCGGGGGAAGGACAGACGGCTGCATGGAATGGGCAGCGCCACTCAGGAGAAGATGGAACATGGCAGAGACAGCACGGCCTGAGGACAGCGTGGGAGCCACAGGCTTCCAGAAGAGTGATAAGGCGAGTGGTGGCCCTGCCTCCCTGTGGGGTCAGCAGGAAAGGAACAGTGGCCCTGCAGACTATGCTTCATGCTCCCTGCTGCTTTTATGGCTGGCACTTCATATGGCCACAGGGAGAAACTTCTGTTCCCCAAGTATTATGCTAACAGTACCACGACAACCAGAAATACCTCTCCCGTTAAAACTCCACCAGTGCCACCAAGATGCAGATTAACCCAGGGTGCTCATGTCCTCATCTCACCGTAGCCCACAGTGCTTGGTTGGGACACGTGGTTTGGGAAATCGGTATCTGTTTTGTGTCTGTGCTCCCTTTGTTGTTAAGAGTAGTGTGTGTGTTGTGTATTGTGTATCCGATCTGTGTGTTGTGTGTCGTTGAAGCTGCTGCCATTGGTTTGTCTGACACCACTGTATCTTGTTTCCACCTGGCTGGTGCTGAAGAGCAGGCTTTTTATGAGACCTGCTGAAAGTACCCCCTCTTTGCCAGCCTCTGCTTGTGAAGGAAGAAACGTTGTGACTCTGCATTCAAGGGAATGAACCTTTTCCTTAGTAACACACCAGCAGGTACAAGCAAACAATGTTGTGCTTTCCCAAGAGGCATCCAGGACACGGCACCCTGTCCTGGGGTGCGCTCCTGTAGCGCATTTCTGGAAAATAGCCTCCCACTGTGTTCCTTGTCATTTTTTTCACAAGGATACGTCTGTTGTCTTTGACAACAGCTACTTCTGTACTTAATGTTTTGAGTTAAGGCTAGCGGATGAGGTGAGTGGGTGACTATATTCTTGACCAAAAACAAAGTATGTATTTTCTCATGTGCTTTGACTCAGTCTATGAAAGCAATTCTGAGAGATTCCCAAGATATTTGGAGTGGGGATGACTTTGTTGTTTATTCATTCAAATATTTATTGAGCACTTACTCTGTCACCTATGGTGCTCACTTGGAAGGACAAGATATATTTGGGTTCATTCCTTGTGGCACGGTTGTTGAAAAATGATTTTAAAAAGCCTTATCACATTATGGCCACACCTCATTTCAGCACATGCCAGTGCACATACATGACCAAAATGCTGGTGAGCAGCCCTGGGCAGTTGGACCCATAGACCCCCTCGGGCAAGACCCCTGGGCCTAGGATGTCCCCTCCTGGCCAGTATCTACTCAATTCTCTGAAAGCATATTGGCTGCAAATGTTCAAAAGCAGAGAAATCTCAGCAGAATCTCTATAACCTAAAACCTTTCTTGGCACTGAGTGGTCAACCCTCTAGCAGGGCAGATGAGTCTCTGGCCTCATCAGTCTGTTCCTGGATTTAGGCGAACCTCCTGGAACCCGGGGTGAGCGAGGGCGCCGCCACCGGGCAGCCCTCCATCAGGTGATGAGTGTCAGGTGCCAACCGCGAGTTACACAACACTACCTCTCCAGAAAGCCGGGAAACAAGGAAGAAAGCACTTACAGCGTGAGGCAGGCAGGGCTAGAGTCCCCAGGGGGCAGTTAGTAAGACAGTTTGGTTCTGGACAGAACAGACACAGAAAGAAGAGAAAAGCAAGAAGGTTGGAAAGTGTTTTTTTTTAAACAGGAGAACAATAAAGGTTTAAAGTCAGCAAGCCCAGATGTAGAGGACCGTCCCTCTCCCTCAGGGACAGCCACCAGGAGAGACTTCCGGGCTCTCAGATCTAGCACATTCACTCCAAGGGAGGTGAGGGAAAGCAGCCGGGCGCTGGGCACACAGGCCTGCCCTCTGCCATCTGCCCAGAGAGAAGAAGGAAACTCCATGGAGGAGCCACAGACCTCCCTCTAGTTTCTGTGCTTCCCCGAGTCATCCTTTAGCATTTAACATTTCAAACAGCATTTTGGAAAACAGAGATATGGAAATTGCATGACTGTTATCTAAAACAGAGGCCATCACAGGGCTGCATTTGTTATGGTCACAACAGCCAAGCTACTGCCACTTATTCTAAAAATCTCCCCTCATATTTTCCACGTAGGGGAGGGAGGAATAGCATTCCATTTTCAGACTGTTCTTTCTCTTCACAATACAACTCCTCACGGCTTCTCTCGGCACTGCTGAACTAGTGCCATGGTGTGGAGAGAAAAAGAGGCCTGAGTGGCTTACGGGATGAGAGTGCAGTGAGAAAGGGAGATTTCCTGTCACCGCGTCACTCCTGGGCCTGGATGCCTGAGCGAACATCAGGGAAAGATTCCACAACAGGGCACCGGCTGGGCTTGGAATCAGTAGTCCTGGGGATCTGGGAATGCATACCTAGAACTACTACATAATTTATGGAGTAGTGGGAAGGGGTTGCAATGGTCCTAATATATCAATTCAGGAATGTCACTGGAATCTAGAACAAGCAAAATTCCAAGAGAAAAGGAAAAAAGAGCCCGTGGCACTTAGATGCTGCCGATGAGTGCTCCGTGCATGCTCTGAGTCCCTGAAACTGTGCTCCTTTTCACATCTCTTTTAGTGGCAAACACACCAAGTGAGGAGAAAATCTAAATGAATACAGAGGACAAAAGGGGGTGAGCGCCACTTGGTACTGATAAAACCATTTTTATGCCTAATGCTGGGATTCTATCATGAATCTATTTTTGCTTGCAGCATTCACTATTAGTAATTCAAAGCATTTTTTGGTTCCTGAAAAATAATTTCTATTTGGTGTGTAACATAAATAGATACTACAGACATAGCTGGTTAATGCTTTGAGACATAGCCCCAATTTCAACTGAAATTCAGAGCCGTAGGGGGCCCTAAGAAGGCAGGGCATTCACATTATAAATAGACCCTTCCACAGCAGGAGTACTTACCTGAGGACCCCAGAAGGATGGGGTAACAGTAGCCCAAAGAAGACACCATTTGTCACCTGAGAACATTCAACCAGTAGTTTGTCCTTCTCAGAGCATGCAAACAACTTTATCACAAAGACTCAGATCTTGGAACATGTAGGTCATATAGTATCAATATTTGTATTAGGTGTGAACCATATGGAATTGCCATTTCTATAGGTCACTGGCAGTTCCACAGGGTTGACCTGTTCAGATTTCAAGACTGCATTTTGAGTTAGGTGTGCCAGACTGGGAAGCTAGCCATCATTTACCCTCCTGTGGGAAACGTGGGCCAGGTGAAACAGGCAATACACCTTCCTACTCTCCCTGCCCATGAAGCCAGGGCTGCTCGGGTCCTGGCGAGAAAGCAGCGGGCAGCCCAGGAGCATGCTGCTGTCCTCCTCCTCTGACCCCTGCCATCTGAGGGAGCAGCCTGGCTGGGAGAGTGCTCATGGGGTCAGGTGTCCCCAGTGTGGAGCTTGTTAAGCCAGACTCCTGGCAAGTTGGGATCACCTGCAGGACAGACGCCTCCTCACTGTGCTGCACAAACCACGAAGTAGCATCACCATAGCCATCATCACCAGCATTATCGTCAGGCTTTCATTTTGGTAATTTCTGAAGTGGAAATGGGAAGTGTTTTGTAAAGTGGTGTACAAAATCACTCGTGGATATGTATCAGAATCCAATTCACAGTAGACTGATTTGTGAGTAATATCAAGGGCGACAATGATAATCAGATTGTTTTAGGGCAGGATTTTGATTTTGTCCACTTGTTTCACCTGGTGTTACTGCTGGGGAGCTCATGGCCACCAAGAGGGTAAGCGATCTGTGAGCTGCCAGGTGGCTGTTTTGTAAGGGAGCCAGTCCAGGAATTCAGATTTTGTGGGCCCTGATGAGATGTGCTTGTGCCCACGTGGTCTAGACCCTCTCCAGCTCACCTTGTGCTGTCACATATAAGGGTCTGCAGTATGAAGAAAGCCCTGACACAACTCTCACATAGTTTGCCCACATGCACAAATTCATACAGAAAGAAGGCTAGCTATCACCCCAAATGAAAAGCCCTGATAAATCAGGATCAATCCCTTAGACCAGTGACAGAACCCGAATCAAACCCTGTACTACATGATTTCCTGAGGACAGTAAAACAACATTTTCTTTAAAAAGTTACTCAGGGTTTTTTCTGCCTATTCTACTCCCCCATAAACCCAACACCTCCCCAGCTCCCAACCACCTATCATGGATGATTCCTGAGATCAAATGACAGAGCACAGTCCCAGGTCCCAAATGCCCAACAACTAAAGGGAAGAGCTGCTGGGGGAGGGTGTGGGGCACTCGGCATTCATTACCTCCATGGTCACTGGCTCGGCCGTGTCCCCCAGTGAGTGGCTGTCGCTGTGGAGACCTGGGGGCCCGTGCGCAGCCTGCCTCCTCTCCTCCTTTAAGGCATGCTCCAGTAGCTTCTTGTTGAGGATCCGGGCCACATTCTCAGTGAGTGTGTAGCCAGGGGGAGCAGATAAGTCCTGCCTCACTGGCGTGCACTCTCCCGCTTCCTCCCTGCACATCTCTGAGCCTACCCCAATGGGGCTAGGCGACCTTCCTCGGGAATCGGTGCCTGTTTCCTGGCCTGGGCCCAGCTCTGGTCGGGGTTCTGCTGAGCGAGACCGACTACCGGCCCGCAGCCCCTTCTGGAAGGGGTCCTGCACCACGGGGCTGTGGTCGATGATGTTGAAGAGGCTGGAAAGGCCATCATTGATGGTGGTGTGCACGGGGCTCTCCCTGGTGGTGGTGGAGCGGGCCCAGGCTGACTCACTGTACCCTTTCTGGGTTATCCCTGGTGACGTCCTGTTATTTGGCTGGTCAGCTTTGGGGAGGGGCTTCCTCTGCAGCTTGGGAGAACCATACTTGGGGGAGCAGCATGTGCGTTCAAACTTAGCCTGCACCTTCTCAATGGCCGGGGCCACCTGCCTGCTCCTAAGGCTTCGGGAAGGAGACGACACGGGTGTAGCACCGCCCCCAGCTTTTGGTGTGAGACACTTGTGGGGGCTGCTGGTGACACCACGCAGGGCTTCAGTCTGCAGGCCCACACTGATAGTCTGAACAGTCTGGGTCCCCATCGTCCGGGACCCATTGGTCTGGCAGGCCATGTCCTTGACTTGCAGCTCGCCAGGGCCAGAGCAGATGGCATTCCTGACAGAGAAGGCCACCTCCTTCATGTCATCACTCAAGTTCTTGGACATCTCCAGGCTGTGCAGTGGGGAAGCAAACCCCAGGGAGGTGCAGAGGGGGGTATCAAGGGGGCGCCGTGTCCCCTCCACGTAGTCCCGGGAGTGCCTGGGGGAGGTGCAAGGCCACCTGCTTAGCATGGGTTCTGGAGGGCCCCCCTTGGTGTCTCCCAGGCTCCCTCTGGCTCTGCTTGTGGGAAAGGGACCCTCACCCCCTGCCACCGTGATGCTGTCCACCCTGCGCACGGCAGGCGGGCTGTGTAACACGCGCACCCCTGACTGCTCAGTGAGGACATGGCTCCGCAGCGGCTGCTTCTGGCAGTGCTCTGGGCTGGTCATGGTGTCCGTGGTCATGGTGACACTTGTAGTCAGGTACCAGGAGGAGTCAGGGAAAGGCTCTGTGCTGTCCTCGTGCCCTGCCCGCCCCACCTCGGTCCTCTCGGTCCAGAGCTCCGGCCCCCCACCATTGTGGCCCCTGGTGGGTGAGTAGTCCCAGCTCTTGTTGTTGAACTCCTCAATGTACTTGAGGTCGTCTGGAGACAGGGGCGGGGTGACGTCCTCCTTGCTGCTGGTGGATGGCAGGCCTTTCTCAGGCAGGAAGGGGGAGATGTCCATTAGGCGCTGGAACTCGGACATGGAGGACACAGACACTGCCCTTGGAAAAGAAGAAAAGAGGGTGTCAGCACTCGTCAGGGAGCCTCTGACAAGCCACAGCACCCATGTCCTGCCCAGTGAAGGTGCCCACTTCCACCCACACCAGAACACTTTCAGCTGCTCATGTGCTGCACTCTCGGCTTACCCTGTGCGCATTTATTGGACTCTGTGTGGTTCTGTTATTGTTCCTGAAGCCTTGCATTGGTCAGAATTTAATACAACCAACTCTGGCTTGGCGCGGTGGCTCATGCCTGTAATCCCAACATTTTGGGAGGCTGAGACAGCCTTGAGGCCTCAGTGCCTCAGTGAGAATTCTTAGGAGACTCACTCGGACCACAGCTGAAGGATGAAGACAGGCGAGCCACAGCGATAGCCAGGTTTTGGTAAGCTACCACCTGATGGACATAAATTTGGTGTGGATTCTTCCATGTGTTAGCACTTTCAATTTGCCATGAGTTCACTGAATGCCTCTCACATGCCAGGCAGGTGCTGCAGAGGTGCCAGGAATGCTTCTAGGCTAAGGTGCTCAGGCACGACCACCACCAGGGCAAAAAAAGTGGTGGTCAGGAATGGGGCTGGGGGCTGGCTGTGCCTGCTGGCTCAGGCAACAGAACCTCTTTGGCCTGGAATCCCTCTAGCTAGGGTGGGATGGGAAGGTGAGGTGTCCACAGACTCACTGTCCAGATTCTCAGGGGATATGCTGATATTCCTTTCACCCTGCAAAGCACAGGCTTAAATCTAGGGTTCTAGACTAGTGCAGGCCCTGTGGAAGGAGTCCCAGATTGATGCATGGACCACTCCTCCATAGGACCCATTAATGATGATGAGGCCAGGACTGGGGTCTGCTCCAAGCATGTCTCTGTACCACGTGCACTGGCATGCAGAACCACCAAAGCTCAGGCAGCTTTGCTGACAGCTGGCTTCACCTTGGGGACAAGGCACCCGCCGTGTGGTCAGCACCATGGGGTAAAACAGCAGGCTAAAAGTGACATTGTCAGGCATTCCATCTTGTTATTTTGTTGTTGTTGTTGTTGGAAATAATCTACAAACTGTCTAGTGGTGCTTTGAATAACCACAAGCTGGCTATATGCAGTGCCGGAAAGGAAGGGCAATGGTAGGTATGGGTTGATTTGTCCCAAGGTCATGAGCTTTTCAGCAAGTATAAATTTCCTCTTCTTGCTTCTGGTCAGTTCAAGGAGTTGCTGAATTAATAATGAGTTTCAGAACATTGTTCACTGGGGACTGTAAGTGCCAAACACACGCCACACCCCTGGTCCTTTCCACATTTCTGTGGACATAGCTCATCTAATCCCACTTTCGCTCACAGCGGAATTGTCTCAGAGTTAAGTCAGCGGCATCTACATGGGTGAAAACTCAGTGCGTCTGGGACATAGATAGATATGGTGGAAGAGAGATGATAAAGACAGAGAAAGCAGAGGCATGAACCTCAGGCAGCGGCCAAAGCAAACGAAACCATGAAGAGAAAACCCAGGACACATCTGGAGCGTGTGTAGGCGCTTGCAGGTACATCGAAGAGAGTTCGGTGGAAACACACTGGGCAGTCAGAAGCCAGAGGAAAAGGGGATGGTGGGGAGGGCACATCCAGTTTTCATTTTGGATGTTTTGATATTTACTTTTTTTTTTCTTTTTTTTTTTTTGAGACAGAGTCTCATTCTGTCACCCAGGCTGGAGTGCAGTGGTGCAATCTCGGCTTACCACAACCTCCACAGCCTGTGTTAAAGAGATTCTCCTGCCTCAGCTGACATTTACATTTTACAACAAGCCTGGGTTGCTTTTGAAAGCGTAAAGGTTGATGGTTTGAGGTGAAACAGAGTTACTCCAAAGCCTAACCCGAAACACTGATGTGACTGCTGCTGTGAATGGGGAAGGTGGGAGGGTGGAATGACTAAACTCTGTTTACTGCTTGTTTTGTGCCACGTGCTGCTTTCATTATGTGTATTAACATACATAAGCTGCAAAAAAAAAAAAAAAAAGATAATCAAAATACCTCCTGTAATACAGATGAGGAGGAAACTGAGGCATAAAGCAGTTGAGTAACCTACCCAAGGTCACATGGCTACAAAGAGGCAGAGGCTATTTTAAACCCAGGCAGTTTGTGCTGGGTGTGGTGGCTCACTCCTGTAATCCCAGCACTTTGGGAGGCTGAGGCAGGTGGATCACCTGAGGTCAGGAATTCGAGACCAGCCTGACCAACATGGAGAAAGCCTGTCTCTACTAAAATACAAAAATTAGCCGGGCATGGTGGGGTGTGCCTATTATCACAGCTACTCGGGAGGCCGAGGCAGGAGAATTGCTTGAACCCAGGGAGCCGAGATTGCACCACTGCACTTCAGCCTGGGAGACAGAGCGAGACTCCATCTCATCAATCAATCAATCAATCAATCAATCCAGGCAGTTTGGCTCTAGAGCCTGAGCTCTCAAGTACTGTCCTGTACCACCCAAGAAAGACTAGAGAAGACAGCATGAAGGACAGAAATATGCCACGGGCATGGCTAGGTGCTGCAGAGATCTGGCAGAGGGCAAATGAGAAGGGGACAGTCATTCACAGACTTGAAGTTCAGGGGAAAATCAAGGATGAGGAGATCTGAAAGTGCTGAATTGTTTGAGAAGAAATTTCATGTCGCAGTAATAGTATGCATTCATTTAGAGAATGAAGAAAAAGTAAAACGGGAGGAAATTAAACTGGGAAGGAAAAAACTAGTGTATAACATCCACATCAACTATTGTATGTCTTCTTCAAGGACTACTGCCAGAAAATATTTTAATAAATTCTCTTAGTGGAGCTTTTAAATACACAATGGATAAAACATCTCACAGCATACAAGAGAGAGTTTTTCCAGACTTTAAATGAGAAAGGTGAGGTTTCCATGGACCTTTCAAAAACCGCTAAACACAAGCATTCCTTTGTATACCTAGCACAACTACAATTGGAAAGTCCTTACCATAAAACTAATACACACATAACACAGCATGTCTAGTTTCTTTGTTTTTGATAATCAAAAATACCATGTTTATCAAATGAATAATAAAGCAGCCACTTAATTCAGAAATGGCTTAAGTATTTTGAAGAGAGTGGTAAAATAGACCGCATTGACAAAACAGAATTTTTAGACCAAGACATTTTTATTTCAGTAATCTATTATTTTCATCAATCTTACTTACCTTTGCAGATTTCCCTTGTGATTTTCTTCTTCCTATAAAGAAGAAATAACTTCGTCTGAATCGGTTAATTTTGGTTGCCTAGAAGCCCTGAATGTACTTAAGTGATTTGTTTGCTCTCCACCCCGAGGAAAACACCATTTAGAATGTGCACTGAGGCCAAGCTCTGGTTAGGAGTGCTACTGCCCTGAGGCCTTTGAAGTACAATAATCAAAGCAGAGTCCACAATGTGATGAGGGGTTGTAGCTTCTGCTGCAGTCCAGGGAGGAGCCCACATGAGAACAACTGGCTATAAACTCTGTCATGGAGGAAGTGGCTCTTCTGTGCTTCCTCAAAGGACCTCACAGACTAATGAATTTCAAAGCTGGCTCTTGTAACAACTTAAGTGTGAGAGTGACAGCGAGAGAGAGAGAGAGAGAGAGAGAGAGAGAGAGAGAGAGAGAAAGAGAGAGAGAGAGAGAGAGTATGCATGTGTCTGTGTTACGTTAAAGAGGAAGATGGAAGGTGACAGAGTAGTTAGGAGACTGATGTCCCTTGGTCCAAATCTTGCTGTAGAAGTTGGCGTGACGTCCTTAGGCTTGGGCACTTGGTTGGTTTTAAATATTCCCTTTTAGAATCAGAGGCAAAGCTACACAGCACCTTCCCCTTAAGAAGAATGATAGCTGTGTTTCTAGAATGACGTAAACACAAGGTTGTCTACTGAGAAAACACTCTTGTGCTGACGTGGTTTTGAAGCAGCAAGCCTTTGACTAACAGTCATGGAAACATATTTTTCAGGACAGTAAATAGCAAGGGGTACACTTCCCCCCAGTGAGCACGCCCCTTGTCTCTGCCACGCAGGTTCCAGTGGGCTGGAACCCTGCCACAGGCTCCTGACCCTACCCCGCGTTACTTCTGCCATGTAATTGGACTGTACGAGATTGCCAATGGATCAGACAGGGTGGGACTGTGGTGATATCCTATCAACCTGATACATTGCTGAGGATAAGGCATTTGACCTTACTGACGTGAGTAAAATATAATTTCCCCGTATTTCAACAACACTATTTGATATGAACTCTTCTAAGTCTTAAGTGTTTAGGAGACCAAATGATAGGTGAAGCAACTTGAATTACTTGTAAGTAATGATTCTTAGAATCAACTTTCAAAACAAGGTTTTAAAAATATTAAAACCAGAAAAACATAACTAACGCCGTGCCATAGAAATGTCTACAGCTTAGCTCACCCATTTGCTGGTCTAATTTCTGTAAGGTTTCTAAGCATTGGACTTTTTTTCCCTTTGCCCAGAATTTGTTTGGTTATTAGTTTTCTACAGTCAGAGACTGTACTATTTCAAGAAAAGCTGAGGCTGATGTAGCTCATATCTGTAATCCCAGCACTTTGGGAAGCCAAGGCAGACAGATCACTTGAGTCCAGGAGTTCAAGACTAGCTTGGACAACATAGAGAGACCCTGTCTTTACTTAAAAAAAAAAAACAGACAAACAAACAAATAGCCAGGCATGGTAGTGCATGCCTGTGGGCCCAGCTACTCAGGAGGCTGACAGGGAAGGATCAATGGAGCCTGGGAGGTCAAGGCTGCCCTGAGCCATGATCGGCCACTACATTCTACCCCAGGCAAGAGAGAGAGAGACCCCCATTTCCCCACCCAAAAAAAGGAAAAGAAAAGTTGAGCATATACACTTCCTAGAATTATTTACTTCCTCTTGTGTGTTCTATTGGACATACTTACTTGTGAGACCTTCCTTTTAAATAGGACTCTAGTCCAGTTTTTCTAAACCCGAAACAAAGGGGCAAAGTCAAAGTGACAGCAGAGCATGCTAATTTAGGGTCCAACAAAACCCTTAGTGTTGTGAAGATTTCATTTTTACTCCGTTCGGAGATTGCTGTATGCCAAAGTGCTGGAGCTTGCCAGGAAAGGAATTTGACATGCCTCTTAGGTTTCATGACAGCTCCTTCATTCTGCAGTAATTAACTAGGGTGGACAAAACCTGGCTGACCTCAGGGAGGTGGTTCCTGAACTCCCTCTCAGGCCTGTGGGCTGGTGGCTCCTCTGGCTCATCATCCAGGGACAAGGCATCCAGGTAGAGGTTCTCACTGGCTGAGCACCTGTCCGACTCCTTCAGCTTGGACAGCGGCCGGTCTTCAAATGGAACCGAGTCGGCGTCTGCGCAAGGCCACATGGACACAGGACGGGGCATGCGGAGGCTTCCCTGGTGGGGAAAGGGGCGAACGCTGCCGTCTTTTTGATCACAGAGGAAACTGCCAGCTCTCCGGGGACTGTTCTCTTTCTGCAACTTGGGAGTTTAAAAAACAAAAATGATTAGCCTCGCTTTTCTGATGGTCTCCCTAAAACCATTGTTCTTCCGCAATTTGGAATTACACATAGGTCAATTTGAAAAACTCTGTGAGAAGCAAATGTTCTTAAAGTTTCTGACCTTAATTTCAAAATGTACCACAACATTACAGATGCTTTACAAAACCCACAATTTTATCGGGACTAGAAAATCTGCATTAACCACACACAAGTATGGCAAACTCTTTCTGACACCAATATATGTGTTATTGTACGTAACTTTGAATGTTGTGCTCATGGGAAATTCTACATTTATTACTAGTTTTTAATCTAATACCATTAAAGAACATGTTTAAAACTCTCTTTGAAACTACCTTCAGAACCCAAGACACACTCAGTGGAATACTACCAGTGATAGCAAACTTCTGAGAGTGAACCTGATTTTCCTAACTAGCTCCAGGGCATGTGGGACAGGTCCTATAAATAACTCAAGTGAGCAAACTTGAGTTTGTAACCGTTTGGTGTTACAAACTGAAATGGCTTAACCATTTGGTGTCAAACATAACATACTTTGAGAGGATAAAAACTTAGCTATAAAGGCAGTATGAACAAAACAAAACAAAAGCCACATTACTTTACAGTCATACTTTTTTGCCTGACTTGGTTGAACTCAAGAAGCAGTAGTGGGCAAGCACTCCAGAAGTGAGGAGACCTGAGTTGGAACCATTAACGTGTGGCTTGCTAGTTCAGAGGCAGGTGCAAAGTTCCCGACTCCCCTGAGCTTGGTTTCCTTATTTGTAAGGTGGGTTGTGCACGTGGGCTCACAGGAGTCGTGCTGTCTGGTGGGGGCCCAGTCCACGTAATGGCATTAGGCCTTTCTGGGCCCTTTTGCAGCACTAGATGAAGATCTTGTGGAGGTGGTTCAGGAAGGAAGCCCACGTGAAATCACAAGGAACTGCTGAGGCAGGCAGACAAATGGCTGGCAGGGTGCACGGCCTCCCTCCCCAGAGGAGCCCTCACCAGCTTCCACTCCACTCTCCTGAGCCCGCCTCATTGCTTCCCTTTCTAAAACAGGCACAGAAAGCACAACTGAGACCCAAAGCTATTTTTACCTATGAATCTTTAGTGGGGCCTTTATTGGATGACAAGCTCACACTACCGGATTGACTGCGATTTTGAATAAGTAAATATCTGAATGATAAAAGTGACATTTGGATTTGACCTGAAGGAGTAGCCAAATAAAGATTTAAAGTCCTCAAGCACTGAGATGGTGCCAGAAATTCTAAAACTGCCTTGAATGCAGATCAATTCGTTTTTTGTTTTTTTTTTTTTTAAAGAATCACAACAAACTGCATCTCTGTGTCCTGATTTGAGCATTCATCCACAAGTTGCATGTAAATATGGTTTCTGTAAAGTCAGGAAGAAAGCCATATGAGAGAGTAAAGACAAAAGGATGTTTGCTCATTGTTAGTAATTTCTAAGGTGGCGGAACAGAGATTTATCTTTATCTTTGGGAAAGATGGAGACTGAAGCAGCCAAGGCTTACATATTAGCATCTGAGGCAGTTCATTGGCAAATCAGGGAACCAGCAAAACCCCAAAACTCCACATTTTAGCTCTGCCCCTCTGCTCTCTTCTCCTCCTCTCTGATGATGACACAGTTCTTTGCAGTTTTCTTAAAGATGCTAACTGCCTTCTTTAAAAAAAAAAAAAAAAAAAAAGAGGAAGGCTTTTTATATGTTCATTTAAGGCATGTCGGCATAATTTAGTTTCAACACATGATCATCCCTAAGCTATTTTGGGCAAGAAATTAAAATGCAAGAATCCCATTTGAAGCTGCAAATGTGCACTGAGGTGTGAGTGAGGGGGGAAAAGAATGACTCAAGAGGAGAGCTATGAACAAGCACCTTCTAACTCAGTCAAGTGGGATTTCAAAAATAAACCCAGGCAGCCAGGAGCAACTTGTACTCAAGCTGCTAAGTGTTAGGTTTCCTAAAAATGAACTGCAGTGGTTGTGGCTGGAGATATCTGCTGCTAAGATGCCTCTGGGGTGCTGAAATAGAACAGGTCCTTAGAAGGGTAGGGTTTCCTATAGCAGTCATTTCAGCCAGCATCAGCACCTACTTGCAATTTTGCAGTAGAACAACTTTTAATGCAAGTAGAAAATTTTAAATATTTTTATTTTAATATAGGAAACAATAAACCCTCAAGATGTCACCTTACCCAGACTGGCAGAAAGAAAAAAGGTCACTCTGTAAACAGGTTTTAAAAGAATGGCAGCTGATTTAAGAAAGTTACTGGAAGGAAAATGAATGGATGACAGTTTTTAGCTTGGTAAGTACAGCAAATCTAACAGCAAGTCCTACATCATCTGCATATTAACTGGGAACTCTACCATTCTAAGGAGAAATGTAGTGTGACTTCATAGAAGTCTCCTGCCCCCACCCTGCAATCAAACTTGGATTGAGACAAGAGACACTGATAAGTTAGATAAAATGTATTATATGACCTTAGCCACATTCCCACATCACATAACATGCCTCATGTGGTGCAGAAATTATGTAGGAATTTAATGACACCAGACAAGTATGAAGCATGTGTTCTCAAAGTGGAAAATGGATTTAGTGTTACTTCTTTCACCGTCTGTATTAGGTTATCAGAGTCAAGGTTATATTATATGGCTACCAAGTAGTCAAATGTTGAGAGTATACATTGTGAAGAATGTTCAGTTACATTTCTCATTCATCTATGGAATACGTAGCTAAAAGTTAAATGAACGAGCAACCCAATAACTGATAAATGAACAAATTCTATATACACCCATACACACTTGAACCCATTCCCTCTTTTCAGGAAGTTTAGATAATGCCTATAATTGCTTTACCTCATTTTCAGGATGGGGCACTAAGATTTAAAAATTTTTTTTAAAAAATGTTGAATATTTTGGGGGAAAGGCCATATTTATTTTTGAAAGCCACAGTTGCATGTCTGAGGCATCAGTTCATTTGTAACCAATCCTTTTCTAAAAACAGCAGTGAAATCATTGTACAAAATCTGTGGGATCCATCACACAGATTTCAGGAACAGCTGCATGCCCGAAACTCACGTGTTTCAGATCCATGATGCTCAAAGACGTCCATCTCGAGGACTGCGTTCTGAGGCTGCCAGTTTGGCAGAACAATTTCAATACTGGTAACTTGGAATTAGAGGTCAGCTCCTGACCACTACCACCTTTCCAAAATGTAGTCTCAAAACGAGGCCGTGGCTCATCTTTAAGTCACTGACTTTTTGAAAGCTGAGTATCACCATGTTTTACCAATTTTTCCTTTATTAGAAATTCTTCATTCCCAAAAGTAAAAATTAAAAATGTAAAAGATTTGCTTAATTTATATACAAGGTATGACTTTCTAAACAAATGAAGCCTGTGAAAAGTCCAACAAGCCACCATGGCTGACAGGCAAAGGGCACCCTAAAGGAGCCATGGCAGGGTTCATGATGGCCTCACTGGGGTACAGGAGGAACGTAACAAGTGCGTGGCCCTAGAGCGCAGGCCAAGAATGAAGCTCCCTGGCAGCAAGTTGCTGTAGTTACTTGACACTGGTCAACTAAAGTTGGATATAACAAATTAGTGGCCATTTTAAAAGAATATATGCCACTTCTATCCCTAAAATTTCCACCTAGCAATAGAGCACAGACACAGAGATTTCATACGGGAGACTCTTCACAAGTGCTGCATGTCCAAGCCAAAAAGGAAATGGCCACATTCCTCCTGATAGGATTTGGGCAAGACTGAAATGGAGCTGTACCAAAGATTAGTAAGGCGACTCATTTGTGTGAGTGGTCAAACCTAGAAAGAGTCTCAGCTTTTCTATCTGCAGTGTACTTCCCTCTTTTTATTTTTTTAGGGACGGGGCCTCACTCTGCCACCCAGGCTGGAATGCAGTGGTGATCATAGCTCACCTACAGTGTATTTTATTCTTCTCAGTGGTTTCCAAGCCAAAGGCTCTTGGTGTCTTTTACCATTTAGTTCATTCTGCCTCCCTGCCTATGCAACATATGCATATACTCACCTTTGTCATTATACCTGCATAACACAGGCACCATCTCTGTGGGTAATAAAGCACATTTCTCAAAAGGCTCTGGGGTACTTAAAATAGAGTAATGAGGTTATTTTTCCTGAGCTCAATTTCTTACTGATTAATACATTTCCTTGAGACCTCATAAATTTATAAGTGTGACTGGCTGAAATAAACAAAATGTATACTATGTAAAAATCCAGCCAGGAAAGAATTCCAAATCTTCATCAATTTAATTTGTGTATCACTCAGGAACTACTGCAACTATGCAAACCATTCTAAGTTTGATGCAATGCAGACAATGGTTATGTTGGCAGAAAAATGACTACCCCTACTCCTTCCCAAATTCATCTGAGTTTCTAAATTGTTTGTTTAGCTTAAGATGATGAGCTACCAGCTACCTCTCTTGACTACGGTCCGTCTAATCACAGCTCAGCAGTATCCACAGCAGGCACACTCACCAGCAAACAGCCTGACTTCCAACTGAATTCAGCAATTTCTTTTCTAATAACAATTCTATTCAAGTTGAAGCAGTCACTGTGACCACATCTTTAGTGGCAAACTTAAAAGTTATAGTTTGCTTTCAGCAGAAATCACTGAATAAGACCTGAAATAACCTCTTTCTAGTGTTGTCTTTAAATTCCTTTAAAAAGTTATCTCCCACCTCCCACAATCCCCAGCCACCCTGCTCAGCCACCACCACATGTACACATAGGAAAGTTACCTATAAACTGTGTCATGGAGAGATATAAAACTAGGTCTCCAGCACAAGCAATTCTAGTATTTCTCTCTCTTCCTTTGGAAGCCCATGCATCCTGATGCTATAAGGACCAGAAAGCAGCCTAGTGCTTTGGCTTTCTGGCTCCACTGAGTACTTTGCACTCTGTGCCTATGCTCCAGGGCCTGGGGTGCCTCCTTACCTCCTCTATCCTCCACAAGAGTTCCTTTTTCTGCCGCTCCCACTCTTGCCGATCTCTGTCCAGGCGGTCAAGAAGTTCCACCTTTTCCCGGTTCCAGTTCTTCTCGCTGTGATGGATCTGCCAGCGCAGGTCCATGACCAGGCTGTGACTGTCAGCCAGGAGCTGCTGGTGCACCTCTCTCTCCTTCTTCAAGGCCCCCTTGCTCTCAGTGGAGGAGCCTAGTTCTCCCAACTTGTTCTCAGTCTTCTCTTCCAGCTGTCAAGGAGAAAAGACAGGAATTTCCGCTGTGACAAGTCTTGCATTCAAGGTTGAAGTCTCAGCACATTTACAAGTGATCCCTGGAAACATGTTTAAACCAAGCTTTGACCAATCCTCAGTATAAATAAATTTTATTTTTAAAGTCCTAGTGAATAGCATTTAACACAGATAGCCACACAGAACGTTAAACAGTGAGTAAACTGAGCTTCCCATGGCCAGTTTCCCTGCTCCACTTTCCTAGTCTAAGTCACCACCATCTCTTGCCTGTACTTCTGTGTTAACTCCTTGAGGTCAGGTACCATGTCCATCCCTGTATCCTTAGCTCCTATATGGAACCTAGGGATGGGACAGTGACGGAAGCCAATAGTTTTCAACAAATATTTGTCAAATACCCAGGAGGTTAAATATCAAAACCAAATAAGATCCTACATCTTACATATTCGAACTTATGAAAACCAATGAGAAAACCTTAAAGACAAAGAAAAATGACACACATCATAGAGGCACAAAGACGAGAATTCACGGAGATTTCTCATCAGAAACTTTGCAAGTCAGAAGATGACAGAGTGGCATCTAAAGTGCTGCAACAAAAAAGATCTCAACCTAAATAGAATTCTGTACCTAGAAACGGTATCTTCCAAAAATGGAGGAAAACACTTTTCAAACAATGAAAACTGGAAAAAAAAAAAAAAAAAAAAAAGAAAGAAAAAAAACAACAAAAAAAATTGCCAACAGACCTGCACTTCAGGAAATGAAAAAGGAAGTTCTTTAGACAGAAGGAATATACCAACAGGCACATTGATCTATACAGAAATGAACACTGGAAATGACATATATGTAAAGATAAAACTTATTATTTCCATTTTAATTGCTTTTTTCATATTTGATTATCTAAAGCAAAAATTGTTACAATGTGCTGTGTGTTTATGGACTATGCAGAAGTAAACTATGACAGCAGTAGCACAGAGAATGGCAAGGAACTGAGAATATACTGCTGTAATTGCCTCAGACAGCATGAGGAGTAGTCTTACACGATTTCAGGGTAGACTCTGATTAATTAAATACGTATATTATAAGCCCTAGGGCAAACGCTACAACTGCACAACAGCCTGCTGTTCACTGCCTTGCTTTTACCCTCATAAGCAATCTTTTATATTTTATTAAGTGCACAATTCTAACAAACTGTATACTTTTTAAAGAAAGGCCTTTCACATAGATTGCCTCATTTGGTCTTTATTGCAATCCTGTAAGTACAGGTATCCTCATTCCCAGTTTATTTGTGAAGAAATGGCAGCTCGGTGCTTTAAGGACTTGCATAAGGGATGTGGTAAGTCAGTAACCATTATTCGTATGTAGAGTTCAATTCACTTTCTTAAAATAAGTTACTTAAAGACCCACTAAAATAATTAATAGTTGATTACCCATGTCTAAACAGATTCTTTCAACTTTTATGAGATCATATTTTTTTAAAAAAAGATTAATGACTGAAATCAGCCAGTATTATTATATTTAGAAAGATGTCTGTATCAATGCTGTAGTTTAGATGTTTGTCTCCCAAACTTCAAGTGGAAATGTGATCCTCAATGTAGGTGGGGCCTAGTGGGAGGTGTCTGGGTCATGGGGGTGGACTCTTCATGAATAGATTCATGCCTTGGGCCAGGGAGTGAGTAAGTCTCCCTCTACTATTTCCTTAAGAGCTGGTTGTTTAAAAGAGCCTGGCACCTCCGCCCACCTGCACTTCCTTTCTTGCCACGTGATCTGCACACATCACCGCTCCCCTTTGCCTTTCGCTGTGAGTGGAAGCGGCCTGGCCCTTTCCAGCAGCAGATGTTGGCACTATGCTTCTCGTGCAGTTTGCAGAACTGTGAGCCAAAAAAACCCTTATTTTTAAATAAATTACCCAGCCTCAGGTATTCCTTTATAGCAACAGTAACGGACTAAGACAATCAGGTTGCTGATGGTGTGCTCAGTTGAACAGAAAGTTCTTGCCCACAAGGGACTCAGTGGGCGAGAGCTAATACTGAATCTCACCTCTGGAATAAAGGCAAACCCTTCATGAAGTGGGGAGAACACAGTTTTGTCCCTGAATCTCAGTGGAACTCAGGCCTTCTTGGAGACGAAACAGAGGTGACTAGGGAAGGGAAAGGTCTGAGGAAGCAGATGACAGCCACGGATGCAGGTCAGGGGTGATGCTTCTTGATCAATCATTTATAAAATGTAAATCTGGGGAAAATAGAACTCTTTTTAAGTAGAAAGAATGCAGAAACAAAAGAGGGGAGAAACCTCCAGTGTTAACCAGGAGACTACCAGAAAAGCACCAGGCACCACAAAATCCCAGTTCATAACAGCTGCCAGAAGTCCACATAACCCAGAGTGACAGGCCGCTGAGCCCCATATAGGTACATCTGCCCACCTGTAGATGCTTCCAGCCACCAACGCATCCTCTCTGTAGAATCTCCTCACGCAGCATACCCCTTCCCGGGCCCCACCTCACCTCTGCTAGCCTGCTTTGTCAAGGCACATTCCTTCTGCCCACAAGCTCCTCAGTGTCCACACTTCTCAGGCCTCTTGTGGCCAGGGTCTACGCTTAGAGCCCAGTCCCCCCACCTACGTAGGGACCTCGTGTCGACAGCCCTCCACTGTCAGGTCTCGCTGGAGCAGACTCCCCGTGACCCTGCGGCTCCTGTCAGTGCACTGTCTGTGCTCTTTCTTTTCCCTCCACCGCCAAACTCACTTCTTTCCCTCAGTACAGCGCACAGTGCTTCTGCCCCACATCCCGACGGCAAGTGTTCTTGTCAAGTTTTCCAGTGACCTCCTCACTGCCAAGTTCAACAAAACTTTTTATCCCTCATCTGTCCTGTCCTCTTCAAAGCATCTGACACTTCTGAACTCCACTTGGAACGCCATGGTGTCCCTCCCTTTGGCTTCTGAGACAGCATTTGCTCTGGATTTTCACAAATTTATCTGGCTGCTCCTTTGCAATCTCTTCTCTCTCTACAAACTTTTTGAAAATGAATATTTTGGTTCCTTCTATGAGCTCCTCTCATTCTGTGCACAGTCCTGGGGAGTCCTCCATGGCCCTGCCTCCCACCTCCTTATTCATGCTCAGGTATATACGCCTTCTGCCCAGCCCTTTTTAAGTCCCAGTGCCTGTAATGACACACACCTCAAATCCAACTTGTTCCCTTTCCATCCCAACTGGTTCTCTCTCTACGTTCTTGTCTTGGTGATGGCCCACTGCCCAGGCACCCACACTGGACACCTGAGAGCCATGCGAGGTGCTTGTTGCTCCAATGTCTCATGAACCGGCCGCCAGGACCGGTCGCTCACTGCTTGCTCTGTTTTCAGGTGTGTGCCTTCCACTCCTTCTCTACTGCTGCTGCTTTATTTCAGAGTCACCCCTCTCACCTCCAGTCTCTGCAACTCAGGGTTCCTCAACCCGGGTGGCAGCCTGGTGAAGCCACAATTCCCCTTCTCAATGTTAATTCTGGGATATCTACAACAATTGTCATGGGAAATGGAAAGATGTGTGATTACTTTTTATTCTTTCATTCCTTTTTATTCTTTCATTTCCTTTCAAAAGATCTGTGATTTCTGTTGGGCTTGTTGCCTATTTATAACTGAAAGACATGCTAAATTTTAGTGGAAAGTTAGTGACCATAAAGACGCATCTCTTTCCTATTCTAGTTCGGCAATTCCCTGATTTCAGTCTACAGACCATTAACCCCAGGTTAATCCATTCAATTGCAATGGTTGCTAATCCATTCTCTATCTTCAAGGCAGAATAATCTTTTGAAAAAGGGAATCTAAACTTTCACAATAAAATCAGGATTAAAGCATCAATTCCTTAAATACTTTTCTTTCCTCTCCTACTTCAGCTTCTTAAATGAGCCATGCTTCTTTCTTCTTGATACTCTCTTTTTGCCTGAAAGTTCCTTTCTCTCCTTTTCCAGATGCCAGTTCTTATCCATCCTTTGAGATTTTTCTCAACGGGACTTTCACAGCCTTCTCTGAATTCTCAAGCCAAGGTATGTGCCTTGCATGCTTCTGTCCCGAGAGTCCTATGTGCAAGCCTGGTGGGGCACTTTCCATGCTGCTATAAATAACAGCACTTGTCTGGGTCCCCCCACTGCCCTGAGAACCCCTTCAAGGAACATCTGATTTGTTGCTGGATCTTCAACGTTTAGAACAAGGTCTGACTTAGGAGTCTGCTGAAAGAATCATGGACTTGGGAAGTGTCGTCAACATGGGCTCTAATGAAAGAAGGTATTAACTTGTAGCAGAATTAAACTGTTTTGTATTTAAGTAGAAGAGGATAAATATGGGATTATTACAAATAGATTAGCATCATCCCATATTCATTGCTTCCTGGGCTGCAAATGTATAAGAAACTTCCTAAATGATTTGGACAGAGATAAACTCTTTACCTATTACCAGCTGGCTTTTGGGTTTGAAGTTCGAGCTTTATTTTTTGGTATTTAGGGACTCTCCCTGAAGGTTTATTTGTAGCAAACCTGTGGGTGGATACTACGTTCCTATAAAACAAAGATGAAATATTTTGAAACTGGCTTGCATCAAAGATTAGACCTCCCTTCTTTAGCTACAGTTTGGGCTTTGAAAACATTTAGCTCCCCCGATAAACATATTTTTTAAATAGGTTTAAAGGCAGCTCATTAGAGAATGTCCTAGGTCGTTTCTCCTCCGCTGCTGACGCTGCCGGTTGGGGACTAAGATAAATGGAACATCTAGGTCAAATCCCCTGCAGGCATCAGGGAGGGGCCACAACCAGGCCAGCTGCTCCCTCACTTGATGCCCAAGCCTGGAAAGCTGTGCCCATGCCCCGGCCCCTGCCCCGCCCAGGGCTGTCAGCCCACCACCACTGCTTGCTGGGGCCAGGCGGAAGTGAAGGGGGACTTGTGGGTACCAGGAGAGATGGATTTTCTGTTTGTTTGTTTGTTTTGACACATCAAGCCATTTTCACCTTTTATCAAGACTGTGTGACAGGGGTCTCCTTTCCAGGCAATTTTTTCCTTTCATGACCAGGCCAATTCCTATAAAATTTTACTTACTTTATGGTTTGCCTCAAAATAGAGCCTAGGAAATAGATTACCAAGGATATACGGATCTTCCCTCCCTCCTCATGATCAAGGGATTGGAAGAAACCTTGAGAGACACTCTCAGCAGCAGATGCTGTGTAGGAAGTCACATGACTTTCAATGGTTTCCAAGGAAGAAACCCTTAGGAAAGGATGCTTCTTGTCATGTCTGATCTTAGTTCCTATGGCTGCGGTATAAGGCCTCAGAGGGGACCTCCCTCTGTGGTGTGTGGTAGAGGCAGGGAACGTGGGCTCTCTTCCTGCCCTAGTGCTAAAGGGCTCTGTGATCTGAGATGAGCTGTTTCTTCTGGGCCTCAGTTTCCTTTGGTATAAATAAGGAGATTAAAATTGATTAGAATTCTTGGGCATGCAGCGGAAGGTCTCCAAGTTCTTTTTGATATTTTGAAAAATCTCACTGAGAGGATGCATTTACCTTTTTCAGAGACAACTAAACCACAATCTCCTTTTGCTTTGCTCCTGCCTAGAGTTATGTCAGTTCAGTGTGATGACAGTTTCAGCCTGGCCATCCTCTGATGGAGCTATATGGGAGAATCCATGCTGCTCTGAAACTGCTGCGTGGTGGAGGCCGTCCTGCACACTTGGGAGAGGGAACATCGGGAAAATGGGGCCTCTGCACTTCAAGAGGAGACGTAAGTGCCACTCCTCTCATTTTTCCTGTACAAGGAGCCCATAGTTCTGAATCTCTCTGTGCCCCCGACACCCCACATATCGTGGACAGTAGAGACACATGGTCAGGATGGAGAAAGACCCGGAGGGTGGTACCTGTTCCAGGCGGCACTTGAGCATGGCCCACTCCACGTCCCAGGCTGCCTTGTCGTTGGCATATTGCTGCTGCAGCCGCAGTCGGGCACGCTCGTCCTCCCGCAGCTCCGCGCGGAAGTCCTCAAGCAAGGCCTTGAAGGCACTGAACAGTTGCTGGTTTTCCACCACCTGTGGGAACACTAAGTCAGGCTCCACCACCTCCTTTAAGCATAGTTTTTAGGTCCGAAGAGGAGAGGATCTGGCTATCAAGGTATTGTGGGGGCTGTTTCCCAGGTGCTGTTGGCAGTGGGTACAGGGTGGGTGGGGGGTCTGCAGTTAGTTGGGGAGCCAGGGGTCCCTGTTGCTGCCATCGGTCTCCTGGGCCTGAGACTGGGGGCCTGTTTGATCAGGACGAAGGTGGAAGGAAGGCTGTCCTGGCGACCTGGCAGCTATGTTCGGAGGCTGGAACCTGGGCTGGGGCTGTGGGAACCTGCTGCAGAGGTGCTCTGGGCTCCAAGGAGACTGCAGGAGGCCACAGGGAACCCTGAGGCCAGGGCTGCCAGTCACTGTGTGACTTTAGATGTCTAGAACACAGAGTTGGGCTGACAACACTGTCATGAGGGTGCAGATATGGCAAGACCTCTACACACACCTACATAGATGCTGTCACTCTAATGCTAGCTGTCGGACTAGAGGAGAATTAATAAAGGTCAGCGACTCCTATGAACACAGGGTGATCAGACTCTGACTCGCAGTTACTAAAAGGTCATAGATATGACACACATGGCCATTGTGGGTGGGTGGATTTAATTATTAAATATTTTGATGTTTAATAATTAAAGCCAAAGGTGAAATGCGTAACCTGTTCATGAAGGCTTTATTGTGGTCTCTTGAGGTGGAACTGCCAGCCCCCACTTTTCTGCCCCTCGGAAAGGGACAAGCCAGACCCACCCTCACATTTCCAGTATTTGGCACAATCTTTGGCTCATGTCAAGCATCCAAATGTGTCTGGTAAACGAAGAGTGGATTTTTATTACTAATATGCTTATGCCTAACTTAAAATAGCGTCTATGTTCTAAAACCTGCCCAGCCCTTTGAAGTCAAATTTTAAAGCCATGATTTCTATCTTAGTACATTTCAGCAAGGGCATTATATCAGAAAGGTTTGGCCAAATGAATGAAACATGCTGAATCAATTATGGTACCTTGATAATAAAAGTGTTGTGAACCCGTCTCTTCCAATCAGCACTGAAAGTACATCACAAGCTCTCAGGGTGGTCTCAGGGCATTCTTTTTTTTTTTTTTTTTTTTTTTTTTGGTGTATTTATGAAGCAGGAGTTATAAAAGATCTCTAAGTCCCACTGGATGTAGATAAGCTCTACTATGGAAAAACAGAGCCTCACCCTCTCAGAATTCCTCATCCCCCAAACCTGATAAATCTCTCCTGCCTGGGTCAGCAAGTACACTGGGGACCCCTCCTTCAGGTTCTGCACACACTGGCCTCACTCTGCAGTCATGCTTTTAAAACCATCTACTTGATCCACTAAACATATACAAAAATGATTCAACATGTATGGGAAGGATTTAAGACACTTTGGATGTATGTTTGTATTCAAATAAAATTGCACAGCCACAAAAAAGAATGAAATCATGGCTTTTGCAGCAATATGGATGCAGCTGGAGGCCATTATCCTAAGCAAATTAACACAGGAACATAAAACCAAATACCGCATGTTCTCACTTATATGTGGGAACCAAACATTGGGTATACTTGGACACAGAGGTGGGAACAACAGACACCGGGGATTCCAAAAGGGGATGGGGAAGAGGGGCAACGGTTGAAAAACTACCTACTGGGTACTATGTTCACTGCTTAGGTGACGGGAATCATTAGAAGCCCACGCCTCAGCATCATGCAATATACCCACATAATAAACTTGCACATGTACCCCCTGAACCTAAAATTATATACACACACACACACGTTTTTTAAATAAAGTTATGTTAAAAAAGAGAAATTTTTTAATACGAGCAGATTTATTATGGAGATTTCCATAGTTGTCCCCAGCATTTAATTAAGTAGTTATAATATTAACACAGTGGAGTATTTTTTTTTTTTTTTGAGACAAGGTCTTGTTCTGTCACCCAGGCTAGAATGCAGTGGCATGATCACGGCTCACTGTAGTCTCAACCTCCTAGGCTTAAGCAGTCCTCCCACCTCAGCCTCTCAAGCAGCTGGGACGATAGGCGTGTGCCGCCATGTCCAGCTAATTTTTATATTTTTTGTAGAGACAAGGTTTTATCATGTTGCCCAGGCTGGTCTCAAACTCTGGCCTCAAGTGATCCACCTGCCTCAGCCTCAGAAAATGTTGGGATTATAGGCATGAGCCACTGTGCCCAGCTACGATGGAGTAGAAAGGCCTGTCTGTTCGTATTTACTGCTCTTTGATTTTTCTCACAGGGTACAATTTTCACTTTTGGGACAAAAGGCATTAAGAGTACAATTCAGTCAACATTTGAAGAACTCAGTAGATAGGGAACCATCTATGAGTCTTACACATTCTTACCAACCATCTGAATAGAAATGAATTACTACTATACTCAAAGAGATGCTCGCCATATATGTGAAGCTGTAACAAACACAGAACAGTTTTTTAAACTCCACATCAAAAGTACCTAAAAATTAGCTGGGCATTGTGGCTTTTGCCTGTAGTCCCAAATACTCAGGAGGCTGAAATGAGAGGATTGCTTGAGCCCAGCAGTTCAAGCTTATGGTGAGCTATGATCACAGTACTACAATCCAGTCTAGGTGACAGAGCAAAACCTTGTTTCAAAAGAAAAAAAAAAAAAATCTAAAAATGATATAAGTGCAGTTGAGTGATAAGAGGTATCACAACAATCTTTTCAGAAATACACGTCTTCATATAGAATTTGTTTGCTGATTAATCACATATATTTTATGGGAGATTTAAGAGTTTCATCTTTGGGTTTTAAATTAAAAATCACTGCTTTTTGAGTCAAGAGTATTTCAAGCAGAAAATAATGTTAACAATTTTGATCCAGTCTTTGGAGTAGTCATTTGATTTTCACTGAAGAGAAAGCAGAAAACCATATAATATATTCCTGTATGTAATCAATACTTTTCTATGAATGCCAGGTTACATTTGGTATCAGCCTATGCTGTTCTTAGCCCATACACCACACAACATTAGAATCAGAATCTTACAGTCCTCTTGCAAATTGCTAACTTGGTTTCTCTGGAAGAAAGTACTTTTTGGCTTTAACAGATATTGAATTCAATAAAATTTAAGCCTTAATGATTTGTGCACATTTGTGTCAGAGTAATCAAAGTAGTGCTCTAGTAAACCAGGATAATATAAATCATCATGGAATGAGCCCAGAATTGCTTTGGAGCGAAGGCAGCCAAAGGGAGCAAGAGAGCCCAGCTCAGTGCTATTGGTACCTGTCATCATCATTTCCCAAGAGCAGCATGTGGCACAGCAGGAAACCAGGCCAGCTCCTGCCATTAGTGCACAACAGCAAAAGTGGATGTCCGTGTCAACATTTCTGAAGACTCAGAATGAGCCAGATGGGCATTATTTTCCTAATGACTTTCACACACATGCAAAAAAACAGTGACAATCATTACTAATAGTGTAGGTTTTCCTATGGCCAGGGATATACTAAATTATTCACCAACATGACCTTGTTTATATGTCACATCAATCTTGAGTACATACGCTATGTTCCCCATTTTACAGAGGAGGAACTATGGCTTGGAGTGGCTGAGAGCCAAGGTCCCACTGTCAAGGAAGTGAGCTCCCAGTCCACGTCATCCCGTTCCAAGGCCAACAAACCACGCCAGGAATATTCAAATTCTGACATTATACCCTGCCAAGTCTTCTTCTTTTTTTCAACTTTACCTTGCAGAAGGCATCCAAACCCCAGGAAGCTAATTCCATTTCCCATATCAAGGGAAATAATTGTAGTGAGTCATCCTGAGAGAATATCTAAAAGTTAACTTCTCTTATTTTTTTCCCCTGGTGGTACCCCTTGCTGGGCTACCTTTTGGGTAAAAAGATGACCCAAATCGAGAATCAAATTAAGACTCTGGTCCATTTAGACATCTTTATGATGCAAGTCTTCTTGGACATGGGGCTTTCTGAATCTTTTGTGCTGGGGCCTAGCCATGCAAACTTTTAGCTTGTACATTTGTTGAATGTAGGTCAGTTTCAACTAAAAAATCTGGCTTTTCAGAGATCAGCTGGCTGATTTTCTAGCAAAGCTGCAGGATAAAAAGCCTCCAGTGATTTCCCTCTCCTCTGCCTAGCGGCATTACAGCCTCGCCTAGCTCAGCTCTCTTGAGTGAGACTTACAATGTGCTATAATATGTCAAACTTTTTAACAGGTTCAGAATTGGTCTTCGGTCCATCAGACTGCTATCCAAGTCTACTATCTATCCAAGTCTCATATTCAAGTATTATTTTCTACTAATAAGTATTATTAGTAGAAAATGAATGGAAGTTTGTAGGTGAGGTAATGTATCAAGGTCTTTGTGACGCAATGCCAGCTATTATTCAAAATTGTTCTTGCCTAAGATTTCTAAGATTTCATCAGGTGAAATCACAGCTCCACCAAAGAGCTAAACCTCTACCAACTACTTTGCTTGCATCAGAGCCAGTAACTTTGGAGACAGGCTTAATCGAAAGCTGGAACAGACATATTGACCTGCTGCTATGGGTTAACCCACAAAACACCAGTTACAAAATAGAGGCAATGGTATCCAATCCTGTTTGTTTAGGCCTCTTGACAGAGGCAAGGGAATTCCAGAATGATGCAGTAGCTGCCCAGACCTCAACAAGGCACATGTAGCTCTTATTCGAGACCTCACTCAGCAATCAACAGGCAACTCCTCCACCAGCAGTCGTCCCTCAAATTCTTTACTGCGAGCTTAGCCAGAATTGATACATTCATACAACCAGCAACACTTTTATAAACGAGCCATTTGTCGTTCTTGTCAATGTAACCTTCATTGTTACATCCAGATAGGTTCTTTTCTAAAAACCATTATCTCCTACAGACAAAAGAATGGGCCACTGAAGACAGACCCTGAAAATATAATCTATTAGTATCATGGGAATTAGAGTCATTTACACAGTCCTCTGTCCCCTGGCCAAGAGTCTGCCTGCTGATCCTGTCCAGGAGGGCTCTGGGCTGTGGTCTCCATAATTGTCACTGAGCGTTTCCCAAGAATGAATGTGGGTCCGCGAAAGAATAAATAAGGCCCATACACACAGTTATCAGCCCAAAGGCTTAGGAAACCAGGGCAAATCTGGTGAAAGTCAGGAGGCCATTAGGGAAGAAACTTACTTGTGAGGTTCCAAGCTTCGTTATGCACTTGGGAGGCCTGTGCAGCTGTGGTCAGCTCTGGGAGGTAGGACCAGGCAGGGAGAGGCCTTTTTCCAAGCACCCATCTGTACGTGTGAATTTTTACTTCGCATAGGTGCTCCTTTCAGAGTGACAGAACAACTGCCACCACAGAGCAAAGACAAAACGCTGCACGATCCTAAGCTCTGGTCTGGTTCCTTTTACAGAAAGAAGAGCGTGCCTCCTAAGGGAGGCCTCCCAGTTGCAGGATAAACTGAAGCATGAACCGCGGTATGACATACACAATTGAAATGTAAATGCCATCTAGGCTCAAGAGAACTGTCTTATTAAAAAAAAAAAAAAAATAGGCAGTTCACAGTTCTGATGTGAGTCCTCCTCTGGCAAGGGTGTTCTTTCTGGAAGTTTCTGTATGTTGGGCAAAGCAAAGGCGGGCAGCCTGCATGGCCAGAAAGGAAGACTGCTGGGGTCTGTGAGAGCCACGGCCCCAGAGGCCCCGGAAACCAAGGGCTGTGTCTGCAGGAGAAAGGCTGACTCCCTTGAAGGTCCTAATGCAGCATATGAGCCAGACAAGGAGCAGAGGTCCAGGGAAGTGGAGTCTCCTCAGTCCTGAGGCTGGACTGAGTGAGTCTCCTCAGTGACTGTAGCAGGTGAAGACTTAAATATGAAATATAATTCCTTCAGCTCTTCCTATACATTTTATATTAGGTTCTACATACTTTATTATTATTTTTTTTTACATAGTCGTTTTATTAAATGATAAAGAGAATTAGGTCACATCCCTGAATGAAAAAGTAACTTCTTTTTAAGTTAATCCAAGTAGGGAAAACGAGCTGTTGGCGCCCCAGGATCATCATTCCTGCACCATTAATCACCTTGTGTGAAGAAGCTGGATTCCAGGAATTACTAATCAGTATGAAATGCATAAACAGCCTAGGAATGCTGGCCTCAAATGCTTAACACAGTGGCTAGAGTCCTGGAGCTCAAGAACTATACGATTTGCTCTTGGGTGTGCACAGCCTCCGCTCTTCCGGATGGCTGGGGAAACTGAAAGCACTCAGTGGCTCTAGAGCAACCAGGTCATGACCGTGAGCTCATGTAGCTGAAGACTGGGAAATAGGGAACATCTATGGAGCCAAATGTTTGCCAACCTGATGATGTGTTATGAGCCATCCCAAGGTTGATGAGTATATGCATGTTTTTAAAAAACCTCTGTGGACATGATAAATGTTGCCGTCTACTTGAGTTCAGTTGTGAGAATGTTCCATATGTCACAAAGCAAAGACAGAGGCCTGAGAAATACTGTAACTGAGAATCTGTCCTTCGGAAAGCGGTTTGGCCAGGTTTCCCATGCTACTCATCACCTTGCGAGGTATTCAGTGTTGCTGGAACAGCCTGGCTCTGTGCAGCTCTGTGAGACACGTGCCCTGGCTCTTACATCCCAGCTGCCTGGCTAATACTCATGCCAGTCAGAGAGAGGCAAATCCTCTAACTGGGAATGTTCCCCCCAGAGAACCAGCTGTCGTTACAGTAGAGCTCATTGATCTTCTGTCCTGGGACAGACAGAGTGTTGTGCACGCAGTGTTCCTTTCACTACTGTGGACACCAGCCCACTCGGCACACCTGATTCTGAGTGTCTGGACTCCACCCCGCCACCCCTCCACACACTTCTACCACACGCAGGCCACAGTGGAAGCTCATCTCTACTTTCATGGATAATCACTAAAAACTAGTGTTGGAAGTAGACGGCAAAGGGAAATGACATTAAAATATGCTGAATGTGAGGTTCCAGCTGAGTGACTTCACATTATTTTCCACCCTGAGAGTAATGACTGTTGTTTAGAAAACCAGATGTGTGAGGTTTTCTCCTTGTCCAGAGCATCTGCATTCATGCGTGGGAAACACGTTTTCTTAGATGAAGAAGGTTTCTGGTGAAGTGGCAACAGTGGCCATTAGTGGCAATATTATGTGAGGTAAGCACAGATGATTTATGGGACTGAATGATAACATTTCTTTTAAAAAGTAAAATTAGTAGATTTTAAAGCATTATTTGCAAAGTAGTATTTTCCTTTCTAACTAGATTATTGCTGGAAAACTCATTCCGTGACCTAAATTCTCCCCATGGACACTGGTAGAATGGCGTACTTTCTAATGGCTGTGAGTAAAAGTTCCTTTGAAAGGATCATCTCCTTCTTGAGTCATGTTATTCAGGGAGAATGAAGGGTGGACCGGTGTACATAGCCAACAGCTGTTTAGGTGTGAAAATCCGATTGTATAGAGAGGGAGCAGGGGGAGCCCAAATTTCCCTCAGCCTGCACTCAGAAGCTCGCCGCCTGTCTTCATCTGGATCCGAGCCAGCACTCTGGTGACAGCCTGCTCCCATGAGATGCAGCGGCTCCGGGCCCTGGGAGCCTGGGCCAGGGAGGAGCAGCAGCTGCAGTGTCCAGCGCGGAGGGAGTGTCCCAGAGTGTCTAGGGCTGAGAGGAGGTTGGAGCCACACCCAGATGACTGCTGTGCCCCATGTCCACCTGGCCCTGCACCCTCAGCCCAGAACGCAGGCCTCCTAGGCCAGGGGTGTCCAGCTTCACTCTAGGAGCCCCCTGAGAAGGGTTATTACTATTAGTAAATAATCAAGTAGGGTTAGAGGGTCCTGCTCAGGAGCTCCTTACTCCAAATCCTCCACCACTGCCATTTTGTATAAAAATGCAAGCAGTTTGGATGTTATCAGTAGTATCTTTGGCTTTATTAAGTAGATTCTATTTCTGTGGTCTATGGCAACAATAACAGCTACTTAATAACACTGAAGTCTCACCTCTATACATACTTTAAATTTTTCAAAGTGTCATCAAATACTTTTATTTGGGGGCACACTACGTTTCAAGTGGGACAAAGAGAACTTGAAATATTTTGTCCATGTTGGGGGATTTTTTAAAAACTTGTCCTTTTCTCCTTATATATTATGCTGCCAAATGAATGATGTTGTCAGTGACAGAGCCTCTCAGGTATATTCACTGGCCCCAGCAGAGACACACACCATTGATCTGCCCTTACTACTGTCCTTATTTATATGAGTAACTCAAATGAAAGAGTGGGCTGACATTAAAATGAAAGGCTTGATGAGGTGATTTCTAGCAAAAACCCAGCATCACAAATGACAACAAGTGGCTATAGTCAGGCAGAGGAATTTTCTGCTACCTGAAGGCCAACAGTTGAAACAAAATGACACAAATGTGGCTTAGGAGTCTCCTCTCTCTGGTGTGGGCAGGGCAGTGGGCTTGGATGGAGGCACCCACCTGCTTGTGGGGCTGTCCCCTGTCTGCAGTCTGCAGTCGCAAGCTGTGGTCTCCAATCTGCAGCCGGGAGTGTTGGGGGTGCTCCCCCACCGGAAAGCCACAGCCTCGGTCACTGTCGTCGCGGTCTGGGCCATCCACCTGGTGACCCGCCTGGACTCCAAGCTCTCCGAGCCTGGGGAGGGTCTCTGGATGCTCACCCTGAAACAGGCAGGAGGTGACAATCACAGCTGTGGCCAAATCCTTTGCTGTACAGCCTGATTTTCATTGTTTAAAGATAATGATCCCCTTTATGGATTATCAAGGCCTGTATTTCTCAGTCATTACCCCTCAAACTGCTCATTTTGGCCATTTCACTCATTGGTACTTGCTGCATTTAAATAGCACAGGGTAGGTGCTCAACTTATTAGAAGATGTTAAAGAGAAATTTTCATTCTACTACTTATAAATTAGTATTGCTTATAGCTATGGTTTTTAAGTTAAAGAAGGAGGAACTCCAGAGTACTGATTAATAGGAAACTTTACAACGATTTCTAGGTATTGCTTAATAATGATTTTCTATGTCATGGATAGTTGGAAGCTGTCGGAATTTGTTTTTGAAGACTTTCTTCACCCTGAAGAAAGAGATCACTGTATTTTCCCATTCTGAGGATGAGAACTTAAATTTACATACACTGTTCCCCAGAGTGAAAAGCAGACAAAAGGTCTTTGGGAACTAAAAAGAAACCAACAATTCACAATGCCTCGAAGCAGCTGGCCAAGGAGCCAGGCTCGTGGATGTGCAGAATACACAGAACACCAGTGGCTCCAGCCCCAAGTGTGCCAGGAAGCAAGCCCTGGAAGGAGTCTGCAGCACAAACGGTCACTCTGACTTAATCAATACAAAAGCAATCAGAAGGCAAAGATCTCTGTTCTGTCGCTATTATAAACCTGGGAGGTATAACAGGAAGAACATATACAAATTTTAGAGGTGGCAAAGTGACTCATCTGAAGCTTAGAAAAGATCCTTTTAAAACCGTGTGGGCAGGACAGGCTTTCACATCTAGGAACAAAACTTGAATAAAAGAAGAGCAAATGTTTTAGAAACCAGCGTTTACAAACCAGCTTGAATGAGATGGTGCAGGACCTCAGGTGACAACCTCAATGAATTTATAAATGAGCAGCAAAGGAGATGGGAGTGAAACTTTGCTACAGCATGGAGTTACAGACCAGAACACTCCTAAAACTAGGTACGAGCATAGCACAGAATTCATGGTTTCATACATAACTGAACAAGCTGCTACATTTCCATTTCTTGGACCAAAATTGACAAAATAATTTAAAATAATAATGACTTCACCACAATGCAAAATATTAATGTGGCAAAACTGCACTTGTATTCCATGAACATGTACAAATGAAAAAGAGAGTAGACATTGGGTAGGCAAGCAAAGCACCTGCCTCTGCCCGTCCCTCACTTATGAACATCACACAGGTTTCGTGGGGAAGTCTGTGGTTTTCCTCATTTAGTTCCTGCACTATTCTAAGTTAAGTTTATGCCTAGCATACCTGCTCTTGCTACTGTAATGTTACTTCTGTTATATTTGCTTGTATATAGGCAAGTTATTGATATTTCAGTCACCTATGTTCAATTTTCTCTTATCTATGTGTCTGTATGAATTACTCTAAACCTTTTTTTGGTAGCAATATTAGATGTTAATCAAACACTGAAAGATAAAATAATAGAACATGACTGTGTGTAGGGTGGGTGAGGAGACAGCAGTGTCTGGGGGTCAAGAACAAAACAGATGCAAACAAAAGGAACTCTAAAGCAGAGTTACCTCAGTGAACTCCTCTCCTTCCTCCTCCATCTGCTTTCCTTGCCGCCAGTGTTTCAGCAGCCACCTGAGTTTGACGTAGAAGAGGAAAATGTTCTGCTTCAAGGACCGGAGCTCCTGCTGCATCAGATTCTTCTCATCACTCCAGGTTCGCTCATGGAGGGTGTTTTGCAAAGCCAGGCTGTGCATTTCCAGTTCTTTCCATCTCAAGGCATAGAGGTGCTCCTCCTCCATCTTAAATGGAACAAAAGAGATAGTATGACGAGTGGCTAATCCAAATCACCACCCAAACCAAACCAAGAGTCCCTGCAAACTGCCACTCAGTCTCCTCTGTCCTGCTGCATACAAGATGTGATACACAGGAGCCCCAGAGGCTTACTTTAAGGGCTTCAGACGTTTCCTGTTTACAAAACCCCATGAGTCTTCTGATTCAGAAACAAGTGCTATTTCAAAGTAAGGCATTATGATCATTTTTCATTATTAAGTCTCTCATGGTGTTTTTAGATGTCTCTAAACTCCTTCAGGAAAACTGTGTCTTGGAAGTATGGCTTACCACTGACTTGAATCCCACGTAAGCAGATTCCATGTCCCCTCTGTACGTGGGCTGGGCACTCAAAGGCACATTACAATTGTAAAGAGGAAAAGAAGTGGAAATCCTTCCCCTCTACTTCCTGAGCCCCCTGACTCCCAACAGCCCCTGACAGAAGAGAGCCCCAGCTGGTGGAGAGCACAGCAGGCTGGGAGGAAGGAATTCTTCCAAAGGACTCAGGCCTCAACTTCATACAACGGTGAGGAAACAGCCAAGTGAGTCTGACAACCTATTTCCATGCTTAAAGACCTGATGTTCCTATTAGATGTGTATATCTCTTAGGAAAAGAAATATCTTGCATCTCCACATTAAGTTCCTGTTTTTTAAACACCCCCCACCCCCATAAACACTCTTAGAAGCAACAATTATAATGTGTCAATGCTAAAAAGCAAAAGAGTGAATAAAGTATCACTTTGCACATAAGGGCACAATATCTATAAATAATATTTATAGTAGCTGAAGTGACATTACGGGATCAAAGCTTTATATTCCATAGGCCAATAAAGGGTTGGAATGCCAGCCTGAAGGTTATCAACTGTCTTCTCTTAACACTCCCTCTTATGCCAAAAACTAAGGCAGGGATATGTTTTTCTCCTTAAAGTACTAAATTAATTCTCAGAGGCCATGGGAATAGAACCACAGCTGCCCGAGGCCAGTGAGCTAAAGGCCAGCGAAGAGTCAGAAGTAGCTCCGGAAAGGTCCACAGGTCTCGACAGCGACTTCTGTGGCCACTCTCCCAATACCTGACCTTTACTGTCCTTTTGACTGAAATTACAGAAAACAGGCGATTTTATTCACCATCTCAGCGGCCCTCAGCATTCCACCACTGGTTCTTCCCTGCAGACACAAGGGCGGCCTAGCGCACCAGACATTCAGCATCTGCAATTTCCTATCGATCAGTCAAGGTGGTCTTTTTATGTGGTGGGTGGGAGAAGTGTATTTAACATTTCACACTGAAGATGTAACAGTCATGGGATATTTTGCACCATCTGGTTTGAGTTAGGTACATGACAATAAAAGAGGCAGTTAATCTGTAACAAAGATCAGTAATTAAAAAGAAGGGAGGTCTGGACTCTGGTCTCTTAGTCATTTACCAAACAAGAACAATGAGGAAGAGTGTTCGTCTATAATCTAAGAAACAAAACATGTTCCATGACTCAGTCTCAGGACTTAACCTCACCCTTGACATAATCAATTTAGAGGGTCCTGTAATTTTCTTCTTTTTTTCTTCATTTTTATTTTATTATTTTACTGACTCGTGCTGGGCAAGCTTTACTGGCCTCAGGAGCAATGTAAAGGTAATGTGAGACGCTTTCCTGCCTGGCTGTGGAGAGGCAGGGACCTGCACCACGGGAGGCAGCATCTGCAGCACTGTGCCCAGACCCTCCTGGAGAGCCTTCCTTTCCCTCCCTCACTTCTGCCCTTTCCAGCTCCTTCTGTTCCATGGCTCCATGTACTTCCCAAGTCTCAGAGCTCAAGTGTCTGCCCTCTGGGTACCTTAGGGGGCACTTTCCCTTCCTAGAGGGCATCTCCTACCATCCAAAGTCTCTTCTGCAATTCTCCCTGATCATCAACTCACATACTAGAAACACGAGGGCCCCGGACATTGTGCTAGCAGCATCTTCAGCAATAAACTCACTTTTCAAACTATTTTTGGTACAATGCAAAAAGTTTTTTTTTAATTACTTAGTCATTTATCTTTCAAGGAATATGAAATTATTTTCCTCTGACAATGAGATGTGCAACTTGACCTATAAAGGAAACATTTAAAACGAGTCATACATCTAATGGTAGAAGTTGGCAGAAAGTATTTAGATCTTGGCATTTAGCCCTGCCTTTCCTAAGCTTCAAGGTGCTGAGAAGGCACTCATTCCCTTAATCAGTTTGTGACCCATTTAAATCACATGGCCTCAGTCAACATAGGGGCTTATGTGTAGCACACATTCCTCGCCAAAATGAGTTCTTAGATACACCAAGACCTTATGTGCACAGGATATGCATTTTAAAACACCAAGGTGCTCTATTCAAGATCAACTGCTTTGCTTTGTTTAGTTTTAAAGACACAGCTATCTTTCAAGAACAAATACAAAGGGGAAGAGCAGCTGCAGCAATTCTGAACCTAGATATCTTTTCACAACTTAATTAGATTTGGGGTGGCAGGGATTGGGCCATTCTCAGGGATGTCCAGGGCAATGAGTGCCCACCTCTACGAATCCTTTCTACTCGGAACTCTGGGGAAGGATTTGGCAGATAAAATTAGCCAGTACCAGGTTATTCTAGAATAACAGAGGTTAATCAGGCCACAGCTCAAGTTGTGGCAGTTTTTTTTTTTTTTTTTTTTTTTTTTTTTTTTTTTTTAAGACAACGGTTTAGGGTGAGTTGCTAATTTTCCTAGCAGAAAATTCACCCAACATCAGCAGAGGTGACAGACATACTTTTCTGTCCAGTTGCATTTAGGCCTTTACTTGATGTCAGGCTGGTAATGCTGCAGGGAAGTTTGGATTAGGCATGAGGAAGGCCTTGCTGAGACCACAGTGTAGATGCTGAAAAGCATGTGCCAGAACAGAAAGGTAGAGTTATGTTTAGGGATGACTGAGAAGGGGTCAGCTAGACTGGGTGAGCTCTCCATAGGTGCCCAAGAGTCTAGCAGCCTGTATGCAACAGACAGCCTTCTTTGAAAATGCATCGTGGCATTTCTCCTTTGGAACTGTACAGTTCATGAAGCGGTTGTGCTGAAATCCATGTTAAATATTTACCTTATGGATCTTGTTTGTATATGTCTCTGTCTCCTCTTGATGCAGTCTGGCCACCTGCATGAGCTGACCCTGTAGCTCCTCTATGGATACACTCTGCTCAGGTAAAACAGGGGGGCCCCTGAGCTGATTGGTGGGATAAAGGAAGGGGTTTAGTGGAAATCAGAACTCTGCCTGAATTGACGACGCAGGACAGACATCATCTGCACAAGCCAGAGACACACAAGGCAAGACAGCACATGTGGGCGCTGCAGCAGTGGAGTGACTGTGGCAACCCCCCTGGGACTTCCCTCTGGGCTCTACAGCTCCCATGTTACCTGGGGAGGGACAGTTCCCCCTGCCCTGCATCTCTTACCCAGGAGGGGAGTGGGCAGCTTCACCCACCACCATAACCACAAACCAGGCCGACAGAAGGAAGCCAGGGTATGCCAGAGGTGTCCTTGCTCCAAAGGTGGCTTCTGGATGCCGGGCAGTCAGAGCTGATTACGACCAAGGTAGGCATGACTATCTATCACGTCAGCCTCTTGGATTCCCTCTCCGAGTCATCAGGTCTTTCTGAGTTGCATAATTAATTTTTTCACATGCTTTCTTACTAGAGTTTTTTCTGCTCAGCCGAGGGTGCCTTTCTTTTATAGAGGCGGTCTGACCCCCAGTGTTCAGGGCAGTGGGGTGGGGCTTTATCAGTTAGCAGAGATGCATGGCTTCAGGCCTCCCAATGGCACATGCTGCCTAAGGGGAATCGCACAAAGATGTACTTACTACACGTTAAGTTCAAGACAGGTGGTGGAATCCGTATCATGATTTTTATTGGTAAAGTCTACCTTTTATATTCTAATGCCAAGATAGAGGAGTCAGTGTCATTACTTTTGAAATAAAATGTGCTTTTTAGAGATAGAAATATTGTTATGCTAAAAATCTCAGGCATCAACAAAATTTAAGCATGACATTTTACCCACTGGTTTATGCTACTTGAAGACAGGTGTTTTATAAAACTAGGAATCAGAGTGGATTGTTACAATGAAATACATGCCCTTTCACTGGTTCATTCTGAATCCCTTTAACTCATCTACTACTTCTTTTGGATACTGTTTGCTCCTCCTAATCTGATGGTATCTGGGTTGTCAAGAGTGAAAACCAAGAACAGAAAATGCAAAAAAATAGAAGAGCACAGAGCACTTCCCTCAGCACTGGGGATATGAGAGAGGGGTATGAAAGAAAGAAGAACAGAGACAGAAATTCAGACACCGGGGATTCGCCAAGTTTGGCATAAATTTTTGAAAGCTAGAGACTTAAACATCCTATTTTCAAAAAACTCAACAACTTCTGAGAGCATTAAATGTTTCTTTGCTTTGCTAGTTGTTCAAGATTATTATAGTCTTTTATATATATTAAGCAATGTTTGGGGTTCTCTTTGAAAAGATGTATTTCCCTACAGGTTGAATTGGCTCCAATGACTGACTTTTCATTTCTAAAAGTTCTGTTATTTAAAAAAATGTGTGGTCTTTTATGATGGTGACATACTCTTCTCCTGCTTGCTTGCCTTTAATAACTGTGAATGCACTCAGCTGATAATTCTATTATCTGCAGTCTTAGGGCTGAATCCTGCTATTTGCCATGTCTGCCAACTCGAGTCCCTGCTGGACGTTCTTGGCTTGTGTGAAGTTCTGCACTGAGACTTCATCTCCCAGGGGCAATTATCTATAGATGTAGTACGGATCTGGGTGGAGAATGTGCCTCCAGATTGGTTTCGTGTTTGCTGGAGCTAGCAATATAACATAAATTCTTGTCTTTGGGATTCTTGGATCAAACTGGTAACATCAATTCAAAGCCTGAGCCTGGGTGAGGCCAGCTCTAGCCCTCCTACTCCTGACCCAGAGCGCATGCTGGAGAAACCAGTGTCCCCACTGCCTCCAGCTTCCTGCTCCCTTCCCTGGGGCCAGCAGGCAGATGCTTCTTTGCTTGCCTTCTTTCCCTGCAGGTGTCAGTCCCAGGCCCCGTTTCCTGTTCCCTTGGAGCTTCTGAAACTCAAGTCTCCCACTTAACCAGTTCGGGCAACAATCTCCCTAATCCACCCACCTAAGGACCACAGAGACCACTTTGGCTCTCAATTCTTTTTTTATTTTGTTTTGTTTTGAGACAGGGGCTCGCTCTGTCACCCAGGCTGGAGTGCAGTGGTGCAACCTCTATCTCCCGGGCTCTAGTGATTCTCCTGCCTCAGCCTCCTGAGCAGCTGGGATTATAGGTGCCCGCCATGACATCCAGCTAATTTTTGTATTTTTAGTAGAGACAAGGTTTCAGCATGTTGGTCAGATTCGTCTCGAACTCTTGACCTCAAGTGATCTGCCCACCTCAGCCTCCCAAAGTGCTGGGATTAGAGGTGTGAGCCACCTCGCCCAGCCTTCTGGTTCTCAATTCTAAAATCAATTCCAACTCTTGAAGATTTCCCTAAATTTCCTGGGAATTCAGCAAGTATTTAAGAGGTACTTTGTATTTTATGCAGTGTTTTACTCAATATTTATTGAGCACCTCCAGTGCTAGGCACCATCTAAAGCATGGGGGATAGAGAGGTAAACACAGCGGCCACACCTGCCCTCCTGTATCTCAAGTGTTCTGCACGGGACCGTTTCCAGGTCACCAAGGCTGCTCTCCTGCCAGTTTTACTTTCCAGCTACACATTACTCTATAAACTTAAAATGTAAAAAATCCTCCTTATTTAATGCATTAGCTACTAGCCAAAAGCTTTATAGCATTAGGTATAAAAACAGACATCCTAATCAAGCTTATTGTTTAAGAAAAACAAAACTCTATTAGTTTAGTTTCTATAGGTTACATTAACTATTTAGTTTGGCTTTAATTTTAATAAATAATACGTATGTTAAGAAACCATTTTTATGTGAAACAATATATGAAGCTCACACTTCAGTGTCATTGGATTTAAAACATGCTTTTCTGTCTGAACCACACCTTTGAAGGGTCACAGGAAAGGAGGTCCTGTGGGTTTGTTTACTGGGGAAGCTGGATCCACCTACAGTGGCTCCAATGTCATCTCTGTAGACTGCTGCCTGGTCAATAGCAGACACGATTAGATCCTCCTGATGTATTAGAAGCTTTGTTTTCCTTTATTGTCCATTTTTGCTAACGCAATATTAAAACTCCCACGGACAATGCTCCTAGCCGGGATGCCAACGTCACTCCAATGTTACAAAAAACAATATATAAACATGCTATGGCAAAAGTTTTTGCCTAGAATTACTATACTGTCACACAATTGCATACAATCACATACATTTGGAGAAAAGTTTCACATGACACATAAATGTCTTCTAAAAAAATTTCCCTTGGCCACCCAATCCCCTGAAGTTTGGTTCTAAAAACGCTTTGTTCACTTACCTAGGATTCTGATTATACATCAAATTCATCTTCATCTCCCTATTAAAGCAGCTTATCTAAATCAACACCATCCTCACTCGTCTCCGAGGCTGCTGAGACACTAGTCTCGACATTGCAACCATCTTCCCATGTCAGTGTTCTGAAACTCCCACCCATGTCTTCCCCAACAGAATTGCATCGCACAGGGATTAACAAAGGCTAACTTCCCCAACTCCAGAGAAAGTGGCTTATAAATTACTTCCCATACTTAAGAAGATAACTTCACAATCTCAGACACAAACAGAAAAGGAAGGCTTTTCATGACAGTCACTAGCATGCCTCACAATGCTACTCCTCTAGGACAATTGTCCTACTCCTAAGGACAATTCCACCGCCATGACCATGACTTCATTTTCTGGAGGGTTCTATTTTGTTCTGGCCAGTTTTGCAACCACTCACTTCAAAAGCAGTAGATGAGGTCAACACATGTGTGCAAATACTTGGCATAAAACCCCACGTAACTTCCTCGTGGCTGGCATTTCACAGCTGAGGCACATGGGATTGCAACTGCTTTGTGTGCTTTCTTGATTGAAGGATAAAAGCAGGCACTAAGGAGAAGAACTCTTTGAGATTTCTGACTCAGAAACTCAATCCTCTGGGCACAGGCCTAGTCTCCTTTATATCTGAAATCTGACCACTGTCCGTGCATGGCTATTTCTCATTCAGAACTATTTTTAAGGTGCCTCGCACATTCCAAACTATTCTACACCTCACTCTCTCTTAACAAATGCGAATGTCTCACATTTGATGGGAACCCCAGGGAGCAAAGTCAGGGAAGAGTCCAGTGCATAGTGTGAGCATCTTGCTAACATCCACTGAGAAGAGCAGACAGCAGGTACACTCATCCTGAAGTCTGTTACTTTTTAGCAATTCATTTTTGGGTGGCTGCACTGATGCGTTAGTGGGTGTCCGTGGGTTTGCTCCGGCTGTGGCTGTTTGCCAGAAACTTCAAACTTCAGTTTGCTCTGGCTGTGGCCTCTTGGAGAGGCCACCCCTTTCCCAGGTTTAGTGAATGGCGGCGTCTGAGCAGCAGGGCTCCTCCACTGCCCAGATTTGCAATCTGCGAAAATACGTCATGTGTAAGAATGCACTTCTTTTTCTCCTCTTTGTTATAACTGCTGCTGCTGGTACAACTACGAGTAGTAGTTGTAGATACCTCAGTCTTTCAAAATAATAATTTATCTTCTTTCCCCTTTCCCCAAATATAAAAATCCGTAAGGCAAAAGACACAGAGGCATTTTGTAAGTGCAGCTTCAGAAGTAGATCCTCTTTAAAAACTTCTGCTTAATGCCATTGATACTAGGTGTGCTATTGGGCCACCTTCCACACCCTTGAGGAACTACGGGCAGAGAGCTAAGGGGGGGTCTACACAGGTACAGTCATGGTTGGCCCGATGGCAAAATTGGTGGTGGTTTAAAGGGAAATGCAAAAGGGAGCAAAGAAAGCTGTTGGCAAGATCTCCAGCTCCAGCCCTGCCTCAGTCTGCATGAAGGTGCCCATGTTTGTCTTTCTCCCAGTTACTCCATGAGGTCTGATGAGTCTCAACACAGCAGCTTCTCTGGCCCAGCTGTCAGGCTGACTTACAGGAGTTTTGTGTACTGTTTCCATTAGAGCCTCATGGGAAAGCAACTGTTGGCAGCAAATTCAGGGATGTTCTCATTAAAGAGCTTTCAGGAGTTCTACTCCCCAGAATTGTCCATTGTACAATTCTTTAACACAATGTCATATTCAAAGACCAAACTAACAAGGCTGTCAGAGTGACATTTATACCAGGGACAGGGCAGCCTTTCCCAACCCAGGTTCTGTGAGTAATCCACATCCAGCTCCTCAAATAAAAGGAAACACTGTGGAGGAATCAAAGTGGCTCCAGAACATGTCTTATTAAAAAAAAAAAAAAAATAGGATGTGTTTGCAACAGAATTGAGTTTTCTCTTCTGTGTGAAATGTCTTTGTGAATAAAAACAACAGAACAAGGGATGTTTAAAACTCCTGATTCACATTGCTTCCGCTTCTAGGAAATGACGCTCCCTAGACTTGGCCTTTCACTATGGAGATTTTTAGCTTTCTTGTTAAAATACACAAAATTAAAGGAAGCTAGACAGATGTTTAAAGAAGGTGCCATTCCATGACAAGACAGTGGCTCTACAGCGGCCCTCCAATGAGTCGTTAGAGTGACACTTTAGAAACCCACCCAGGGGTCAGTGCAGAGCTCTCCTGCTGCTATAGATCAGACCCCTCGGGGATGTGCTAGGGAGGGGGAGGGCTGCAGCTGGCTGTAGGCTGTTCTAGACCCAGTTCTGCCACCAACCAGGAGGAGGGTTTATTGGGGAGCCGCTTCACTTCTCAGGGCTCGTTTTTGTCATCTGCAGAATGAGAGACTTCATCTGAAGACCTGCTGTTCCCTTCTGAGCTGCATTGTTCAGAGGTCCTGTGCCACCACATGGCACCAGCTCGCTCTGCTAATCTACTTCTTGTGCAGCTTTATTGTCCCTCAGTATTTGGTTTTCTTCAACTAGGTGCTTTTCTCTCCCAAATCACTGTAAGTTTCTGAAGCTATGTGAAGCATTTATGATTGTGACAACTTATCACTGCTCCAGGTTACACAATATGGACCTAGAAGAATCCAGGAGGAGGAGAGCTTTCTGATACAGGCTGTAACTGCACACAGCTACATGCGACAACCCTTGAAGGATGAACATTTGGGAAGGGAGATGCATTTCCTGTAAAACCGGCCATCAAAGGTAAGGGGGATGCCCTGTGCTGTGGTTCCAGAGCTGCGGTTCCAGAAACAGGCCATGACAAAGAAGAAAGAGCTACAGCGGGAAGGGAAAACCAGGACCCTGACTAGGGAAGCTGTGACACACTCTCCCCCTTGGCAATCCCCAATGGCAAGACATAGCACTCTATTATTAATCATACTTCAGGCCAGGTGTGGTGGCTCACGCCTGGAATCCAAGCACTTTGAGAGGCCAAGGCAGGCAGATCATGAGGTCAGGAGATCGAGACCATCCTGGCCATGGTGAAACTCTGTCTCTACTAAAATACAAAAAATTAACCAGGCATGGTGGCGCGTGCCTGTAGTTCCAGCTACTCAGGAGGCTGAGGCAGGGGAATCGCTTGAATCCAGGAGACGGAGGTTGCAATGAGCCAAGACCATGCCACTGCACTCCAGCCTGGCTAAAGAACAAGACTCCGTCTCAAAAAAAAAAAAAAAAAAAAAAAAAAAAAAAAAAAAAAAAATCATACTTTACACAGGCATGGCATTTGGGCCTTTAAAGGTGCTTCCTCATTTAACAGTTCCTTTGCTCTGAACCAACCCTGTGTAATCTCATCAGGTAGGCAGGGCAATGCTGTCATGCCCATTTTACAGACGAGAAAACAGAGGCTGAGAGACTTGCCTGAGAAATTGAGATGGGAATGAACACAGCCAGGCTAGGGCCCAAGGTATCCGATGCCCAGGCCAGGGTCAATTCCAGTGTGGTAGGACACGCCTGCTAGCAACAGCTTGTGGGGCCATGTTAGCTGAAAGCTGGGAAATGTGTCTTTCTGAGGTTTCCCATCCTGGAGGTGGGTCACTCAGCCACTGGAAATGAGCATAATTGCTCACATAACAGCGTTCTCAGAGGAAGGCCCTGAATGCAGTCTGGGCTAACAAAGGCGCATCCTGTGATTGTTCCATGGAGTCCTAAATCACTCCATCTGTGGAGAAACTAGCAGTTCCCCAGTATCTGCCTGTCCTGCTCTACTTTTGGTACAAAACTTAAAGACATCTCACTTGTGATTTAGGAATGAGAATACGCTGAATGACGTTCTGTAACACATGTCTAACTCTACGTCCAAACACAGTGTTAAGAAAACATTAAAAACATTACAAATGCTTATTCTGGACCCTCTAACTAGGAGGGCTCTGGGGCACCCTGCTGCTCCCTGAATACCCACGGCAGCTGCACACAGCTCACGGAGGTTCTGCTTGTTTCCTGGGAGGTTGGCACCAATGCGAGCGTGGCCGTTTGGCATGTGGAATGTCTCCTTGTCACACCTCTGTGTGGTCCACATTTACTTTCCTCTGGGGCAGGGACCCGGATGCCACCTTCTCAGGCAGGGCTGACCTCTGAGCAGGTGACATAAGGAGGGTGGGCCTGCACAGGATGTTTCTGAAAACTTGTTTTGTTTTCATTTAAGCTTTACAGAGGCCGTTTTCATGCAGCTGTGTTGCAGGGGTAGAGGTGTGACACACACCCTCAGGGAAGGGGAGAAGCCCGCATGGGAGATACTGGGACTCACGTGAGTAAGGCGGCAGCCCTCCGGCAACCGTCGGACAACGCAGCAGGCAGCCTGACCAGGTCATAGCAGCGCCGGCCCTGCCCCACCCTCCTGCCTCTGCTCACTTCATCTCCTAATCAAATCCAGCTGGCTTTTCTGCTGAGTGAGCTTCTGTCTCCCCTCAGTGCTGCGGTCCTCACCACTCCCTCACCCCTGCCCTGCGGGAGCGGCTCCCATCCCCTGGAGCTAAGTGGTAACATCCCTAGGTGGACTCAGAAATTAAGAATCTTCATCAGTGTCTTAGAGAAGCTACTGTCCTCCTCTAGTGAAGAATATGTTGCTCCAGCCCTGCCAACAACCTGCCTTGTCCAGCAGGGGCAGCACCAGGGCTCGCCCCTCGGCAACCCCGTTTATCTCCCAGGTGGGGTGGCCTGCATCTAAGAGCTTCCGCTCTTCCAGGCTGCTCACAATGGTTCCAATCATGCATGTTCCTCTGGTGGCTGGAGCCTTGTGTACATGGGGTTACTGTGGTGACAGAGACTGATAAGGGTGCCCGCAGGTCAGGAGAGAGACCCCCCTGATTCTCTCAACCAGCCAGCAGTGTCACTCCAGACCATGGGACAGTCACAGAGACACAGGCAATGAAGAACTGAAAAGGAGAGTCCTAAGAGGAATTTCCTCCATTGTAGGAAAGCCCACATTGGGTTTTCATCCCTTCTTTCTCTGCGGTTGGACAAGAAGCCACCACGCACTCACCAAGAAGCCACCACACACTCACCAAGAAGCCACCACGCACTCCAGACCAGGTGCCCCAGGTCTGCAGGAACAGGATGTGGAGTGCCTGCAGTGAGCTGTCCTTCTGTCTGACAAGCACAGCAGTTCCCCGCATGCACCTGCACACACCTGCCTGTCCCAGTGCCACACAACGGGTTTGCTGCCAAGGGAGTTCCGCCCATTTCCAAACCTCCTCTTGCCATGTTCCCTCAGGGCCTCGTCTGGGGCAGAAACCGTCACGCAGCCAGCCACACAGGAAAAGGAGGGGAAGGTCGGGGGATTGCTTGCTTGCGCTGACCTCCAGGCTGAAGCAGCTCTGGCGTCCTGGCCCGTGGCTCCCAGCATCCCCGTCTGCGCGGCGGTGCAGCTCCCGCGCGGCTCGGAGGCGCAGGCTCTGCCGCTCGTCCCCTCGGGCTGGCCCAAGCTGCCACTCCAGCTGCTCTCTCAGTCTGGACTGTTAGGTGCACGGGAGGGATTTGTGTGTGTGTGTTTTTTTTTTTTAATTTTGAACAAAAAAAAAACAAAGGACAAGGAGGTGGGGGCAGGGAGGGGGGATGAAGAAAACAACAATGGATAAAGGAGACAACTGAGAAAATGACCAGACGAAGAATGGCATGAACAGAAACAGCAGCTTAAAGTAAGAAAGTGAAGAGAACAGACCCGAGATGAGGATGAGCAAAAGGACGGGTGGACACATCTGGAAAGCAAAAAGAGAAAGTAGGGGTGCAGACACTGGTTACGGGGCGCATGCGATGGCGATGCGTGAATCCAGAACTCAACTGCAAGCACGCTACCCGCGAAGGAAATGGAAAACGAGGCTCTTCCTTCCTTACTTGTGGGTCGAGCAGCCAAAGCCACAGTCCAGGGCGGCAGCTGGGCCATGCACCCAAGGCGAGGCTAGGACAGCAGTCCTCGGAGGCCCTCCGCGCCCTCCCCCGCGGCGTCAGGGCGGCGGGAGCCAGCAGAGCTTTTCCACCAAAACCATCCTTCTCAGCACCGCGCTCCTCACCCGCTTTGGCTGATCCTCCAGCGGGAGTGGGGGCCTGCGCTGCCTAGGGCCTTGGACTGCACTGTGTCCCTTGAAACACACCCAGGAAGGGACGTGCTCGTTAGTGAGTCTGCTAATTATCCTGACTGTGACATGCGTTTGTCTTAGCCTCCTCACGGCTTCTTCAGCGGGTGGCTGGTTGGTTGAGACACCAAGAGAGGAGCAAGGCCGGCCTGCGTCGAGCCCTATTTGCTTCCAATGGGCTTAGCCTCGTGTCTGGGAGGGCCTCTAAACCACGAGTCGCGGTGCAGTGAAAAATAAGACAGGAAAAAGGAAAAAGAAACAAGGCAATACAAGAGAACTTAAAAAAGAAAACAACGGAGCCCAACCAAGAGAGAGGATCCGGTTGCCCCGGAGGCTTTAGTACAATGCAGGTTTGAAATCATAACCAAGCAGCCGTGAGCAGCGTGAGCCCGAGTGCAGCAATGCCAGCGAGAAGGAGGAAGAGCAAGGTGGAGCAGGGAGGCGAAGCCACGAGCCCCCTTACCTGCAAGTCGGGGCCCAGCTCCTTCCCCAGGTTCCCGATGGGGGAGTCCCGGGACACAGAAGTCACAGTGGAGAGGAAGCTGGAGGACTCTGTGAGGTGGGGCAAGGGGGACAGGCCATCCCCAATGCGGTTCACCTGCTCCAGGAAGGCTTGCAGCTCCTTCCTGAAAGCCTTCATCTTGGCATTGATGGTCCCCAGCAGGTGGGGCTCCTGCTGGTCCCCCTCGCCCTGATCTTCTTCACCCTGGAGGCCAGGCCCTGGTGAGGGTGCACCACCCTGCAGCCCGGCATCGTGGAGGAAACAGTCAGTGTCTGTGATGAGGCGCTCCATGGTCCGCTCCAGCCGCTGGGCCTCGTGCTTTAGGGTCACTAGACACTCGGAGTCCTCCTGGGCCTTCAGGAGCTCCGTGGGGCACGGCTCACTGGCCTCCGATGGCTTCCCGCTCTCAAAGCCTGACGTATTCTCGAACATTTCCTCCGAATCACTCTCCCCGCCAACAGGCCCTTCCCGCTTGGGCTGGGACAGGCGGCCCTCCTCCCCATCGCTCTCCTTCTTGCCTGCATCGCTCTCGGCATCACTGTCTCGAGGACTGGGGGCGTGCACCCCCAGGTGGGCGGCCAGGTCACAGCGCTGGATATTGGACAGCAGCGCGTGGTTCTCGTGCTGTAGTTTGAGCACCTTGCCACTGAGCTCGCTGATCTGCAGCCTGGCCGACTTCAGCTCCTCTTGCAGGGGGGTCCCACCCCCAGCACTAGGACTCACACTCTCCCCGAGCCAGCCCGGATCCCGGGGAGGCTCAAACTTGAACTTGCTGAGCTCGTGCGTCAGCTGCCGGTTGTGGTCTTCAATCTCGGAGATGGACCTCCGGAGCAGCTCCGCTTCCTCTTCCACAAACTGCAGGTGGCGGCGGAGCTCCGTGGAGGACTCCAGGGAGTCGCCGAAGGGTGAGGTAGGAATGCTGGGTGTGTGGTCTCGGCCCGCGCCCTCCCGCTCCTGCTGGCTCCGCATGTCCTCCATCTCCGCCTTGAGGCCACGGTTCTCAACCTCCAGCTCGACTATTTTCCGGCCCAAGATGTTGGCTTCCTCCTCTACCATCTTCAGCCGCAGCTTCAGCTCAGCCTCCCTGGTGCTGGGGGGCCCGCCTGCTTCCCCCACGGGCAGGGGGCTGTCCACATCCCCATAGAGGGACTTGTACTTCTGGAGCTCCTGCTCCAGCTCATCCTTCTCCCTTCCTAGCTTGGCCATCTTTTTGCGCATCAGGAAGGCTTCCTCTTTGGCAAATTGGAGCTGGCACTTCAAATCGGCACTGTCATCCTGCCAGGAGAAAACAGCCCAGGAGAAGGGTTATTTGAAAATACCAAATGTTCGTGTTTTTCATGATTCCCCTCACACCTCGCCCCCAACACACACACAAACACCAAACACCGATCTTCCCGTCGGTGCCGTTGAGTTACACAGAGAAAGAGCCAAGACAAAGCAGAGGTGGGTCCAGGGGGCTTTGCGGAAGGGACCTGGGAAAGGCCTACAGTTTGTTTTTTGCCACAGAAACAAAAGAAACCAAAAAAATTAGTTTGGAAAAAAAAAGTTCATGTCACAACCATGATACAAATTATGAGCAAAGAAGGGAAAACGAAATGAAACCCAAAACCCAGCGGGAACGCGCAACCCCTCCTTGCTCTGTGGATCCCACCTGGTTACTTACCAACACCAGTAAGAGACAGCAGGACCCCTCACCAAAGCCTGCTGCAGGCACACAGGGTTCAGAGCCTCTTCCGCCCTGCTGCACTCACCGCCTCTAATGTGCTGACCTCCCTCATTCAAAGTGGCCCGCAATCCACGAGGTCTGACCAGGATGGGGAAGTCAGGCCACCCCAAATAACAGCTCAGCTTTCCCCTGGTTTCCTAAGGTACCTGAGACAGGGCAATTCGCTTCTCTCCATCCCAGTCTCCCCAGCCCTAATGTCCCACAAGAATGAATGACCAAAAAAAAAAATGAGGTATGAGCCTGAGGATGCTTGGAAGTCCAGGCACGTGCTGAGTCAATACCGAGCTCTGAAGGCTGGTGCACACTGGGTACTGCAGACCTGGACACCTGGGCTCCTTGCAGCCTTTCGCCATGCAAGTGCAACTTCAGAGGTCTTTGCTTATGTTCCTTTCCCTTTGGTTGCTATAACGGAGCAGGAAATTAAACTTGGAGACCCAAGGCAAGGAGATAAGTGCTAGATAGAGTCAAGTGTATCAAAACCTGAGAAGTGTCCTCATCAGGCTTCAAGAGGGTTCTGGAAGGTCCTCAAAGCTGACTCTGCTGCTGACGGCCTGCACTGCTTAGCTGAGGTCAAAATGGCAGTTTTCAGATCCACTGGGAAGTCAACTCTGCTCTGCAGGGCTGGTCTCGTTTTGAGGCCAGATAAACCCCCATTTTGGTTTTGCATAAACGTTTTACTATTCACGTTCAGTGGATGGGAAAAATGACCGATTTCATGAATCACTCCTCATTGATCGGCCATCAGAAGTTCCAGAAGGCTTCAGCAAAGGTTTCTCCCATCACACAGAGAAACTGTTAACAACAGCTCTGTGGGAGTCAATTCCCACAGCCCCAGTGGAGGAAAAGGCATCAAACTCCTCTCCAGGCCTGTTGACCCTTCTCTGGAACAAGTCAGCCCCTGAGGGAGAATTAACCCTTTCAGATCATCACATGTGCTCACAGTGCAGCTTTTACAGCCAGAGCATGGCTCATTCTCTGCCACAGTCTGGTCACACACTCACCATTTGGCAGAAAGAGAAATGCCTCCCTCGGCACCTCCCAGCTTTCCTCCTTCCACTCTGCCTGGTCCCTCCTTGCTCACCACAAACCCCATGGAAAGGGGAAAAACAGTATAATGAGGAAGGCTCAGACCAATACCTATGACCAAGTGTGCAGCCACTGCCATAGGGAAAGCTTGCCGGGCGCTATCTGTGCATCCTCACGAGGATGACCTCTCCCACAGTCATCTCTTAGCTGAGGACAAAACCAGGCCTGCTGGACTTGGGGTCAAACATGCTGCCCAGAGGCCTAGCTTTGCCCCCCGCTACTGTCCAAGGGACCTGGGCTAATCACAGAGTCCCATTGAACCTGTCTCTTTGTAGCTAAAGCAGGAATGCTTGCTTAACCACAAGGTCATTATGAAGGTCAAATGAAATAATGGTCTGTATACGATATATCATAAACCTAAATAGTATATTTATCACATAAGCAGGTTTGCATATGATAAATCACCATGCTCTAACTCCCCAAAATTAATTTTCTTATTTGTCTGAAACACAATTAGTATTGAGTAAAGGAGTCGATAAATGGTTTTTTTCCTTCTTTGCACATTAGGAGAATATATAAATGTCACATGGTCTTTGAGTTCTGAGAACTTATCACATTAAGGATTTGGTTGGGTTTTGGTTAGGTAGATATAAAAAGCATTCCTGTGACTAACTCGAAGTAAGGCTGCCTGCCCTTCTCACAAATATTGGGGCAAATGCGCTATTATCACCACTGGGGTAATGACATTGTTTTTTAAAGAATCTACACAGAATTCATGGGCTGTGTAGAATACACAGAATACAATGGTGCAATCTTGGTTCACTATGACCGCTGCCTCCCAGGTTCAGGCAATTCTCCTGCTCCCTGCCTCTGCCTCCTGAGCAGCTGGGACTACAGGAGCATGCCACTGCACCCAGCTAATTTTTGTATTTTTAGAAGAGACGAGGTTTTGCCATGTTGGCCAGGCTGGTCTCGAACTCCTGACCTCAGGTGATCCACCACCTCAGCCTCCCAAAGTGCTGGCATTACAGGTGTGAGCCACTGTGCCTGGCCTTGTTCATTCATTCTTTCAAGAAATATTAAGTACCTACTATGTCCCAGAAGTTGGCGTGTTACTTTTAAACAACCTCGGCTTCTTAGAACTTTCAAAAGTAGGGCAAACAAAAGCACCTTTTCAATTTTTGATAAACATAGATTTGTAAGAAATCCAAATACACAGACAGATCTTTGTTGTTCCCATGAAGGAATGGCGTTTAAACTAAAGTACCTAGCATTGGAGATGGATTGTAAATACTTAAAAGCTTGGGACCAGAAAACAGGGGAGTGCTTTCGGCCCCATTGTTAACTTGAGTGCCAGTGTATGTCCATTGTCAAAAATCATCTAAATGATCCTATCTCCAACTTTGAAGCAGAGAAATCCATGGTAGCAGAAATCATGGAGGGCAGCACTGTCCAGCTGCAAGGAAACTCAGCCCCACTTTCCACCCTCCTTGAGCCTGGGACTCGAGACTGGGCTCGACAAGGGGCGGGCAGGGCTGCCTGCTGTGACCCGCATCAGTGGAAACCTGCAGCTGCCAAGGTCTTGATGTGGTAGAGCCAGAACAGCAGGGGCAGAGTTGCCTACATGGTGCGGGAAGCGTTTGGCTCAAACAGGCGTCTGGGCCAGGGACTCAGGCAATCCCACTCTGCCTTGTTCCTTCTCGCTCACCATAAACCCCATGGAAGAGGAAAATGATATGACAGGGAAAGCTCAGGGAAATACCTACGACCAACTCCTGGGAGTCTCTCTGAGAAGTTGAACTGAAAAACTGGGGAGAGAGGTAAGATCTCTGAGAAGGATCCTGAAACATGCTGGAGATTATACATGCTTATCTGCACCCCCTCATGCAGATAGAAGGTCCCCATAGAGCCTTCAAATCACCTTCATTTCTGGAAACCTTCAACCTCATGCCATTCCCTTCCCTCCACCGTCCACTACAAATCTATCATAGAATTCTCCTCCATCTCCTTGAACCTAAACCCAAGTCAGTAAAAGCAGCAAGATCCTATGACATACTCTAACGAGTGTCAATTTGTAGATTACCTGAGGATTGATAAAATGTCCAAAATGTCTTCTCGGTCCTTAAAGAAAAAAGCTATCTAAGCACCAGGAAGTCTAACATATGATTAAATCATGCTGTCATATCAACTTAACCACCACACATGCACTATGAGGCCTGCCACCAAGGCTAAAGCAGTTTTTGAAGAAAGACCGCCCTGGAAGCCATGGGAGAGTATGTATTAAATGAAGGGGACAGATATCTTCTGTGAGGTCAAGGCAGCTGCAGCAGGACTCGCTGCACTTGCTGGGTGTTGTGTGCAGGAGAGGGGTGGCCTGAGGGAAGCTGAGCTCAGCCTGTTCTGAGTGGGGGAAGCCACTCCTTCTCATAAGATGGGGAATCACGGCTTCAGCTCCGGCAGTGGGAGGCTGGATGCCCATCTTATCTGGTAATCGTAGACTTCTTAAAACTCTGCCAAGACTCTAGTGAAGGGGGCAAAACCGAGTCTAAACTGAGGGATATTATTTCTGCTTTCAAGAGATCATTGGATAGACACAGGTATGCAGTATGAAAGCAGGTCAAGTCCAACCTTCCACGTGACACATGATTCCTGATGTGGGCAGAGGACAGGCATGGCCAGGACGGGGAGACACCCAGGGGCCCACCACCATCACCACCAGCGAGAAAGGCCTTGTCAAGCAACAGAAATATATCACTCTCTGTATATATTCTTTGGCTTGCAAGTCGGCCGTCCAGCCAGCACCCCAAGCGGGTGACTGCCCGCGTGCCTACCTTGCGCCGGGGCGCCAGCTTCCTTTGGGTTTTGGTTGCGGGCCTGCAGTTCCCAGGGCGCTCCATTCCACCATTCTGCTGAACAGAAACTGCTTCCTCAATAATCCCGCAGGCCGGGTGGGCGGTTCAACGCATCCCAGGTACCCGAGTTTCTGACACTTGCCTAAGGAGCAGCAGCTCCTGCTCTTGGCCCATTTTACCCACAAGGTGAATGCAACTTCATGCTGTTCATTTCACAATGGGGCAGAATTTCCCCTATTAAGGAAAAGATCTCCCCTGGGCAAGAGCCAGTCAACTGAAAACACTCTCAGCTCAGGAGAGTATAAGCACCCAGCAGCAGGATGGCAGACTTTAATCTCCCTGTTATTAATAGATTCCAAAGTGAGACTGGGAGGCTAGGAGGGGTGGAAGGGAACAGTTGGGCTTTAGTGTTCCCGCTGCTACAGGGGCCTGCCCCTCCTTGAATGACGCCCTGGGGATCAGTGAGTTTGGAGAATGGAGAAACCCGAGGGGATCCTTATGAGGGGAGTTCACAGGGACTGGGCTGAACCAGGTCGGTGGAGGTCGCTGAGCTCTTAGTTACCCCAACTCATTGTGTCTCTCTAATTACTACTTGCTCTCAGAGTGCAGTGAGCTGATATCCCAATAACACCTTTGTTCTCTCTACCACCTAATGCTAGCAGCAATTTTTAGAAAAGAATCCCATTAAACAGCTTTACAGAAAAGCTAGGAAAGTTTTGAAGAATACATACTGTGCATCTAGAAAGGGCTGAGAATATTTTACCTTCAATTAGAACCATTTAAAATATTGCTTGGCTTACACATTAAAAAGCAAAAGGAACAACAACAACATTCAAAAGAATGGCTTATGAAATGACTCAACACCACAGTGGAGGTTTTATTTCACTGTGTGGATGACTTCGAAGGTCAAATACTTTTTACCATTTATGAGTACCGCCAGGCCCCTAAACTACACTTAGTTCTGTTTCACACAAAGCCAATTCTTTTTCCTGAAGAAATCACCAGCTTGTCAGCGTGAGGGAGAAACAAGAGGAAGGAGCTGTGGGTTTAGAAAGAAAATGTCCACCCTGTTTAAATTAGGAATGAGGCCACGTATTTGGGCAAGTAATGCTTCTCTGAATGTTTTAAAGGCAAAGCTAACACTTACTGAAAAAATTAAAAATTTAAAAAGTGACTTCACTTATAGGAGATATAGCATTAGAATAAAAACCTCTGCTTACCTGGTTAAAGGTCTTCTTCTCTTTGTACATTTCCCGACTGCTTCTTCTTTTTAGGGAACTCTGAAATAGAACCAAGTGACATTCTGTGACCAAGGGCTCACACGTGACGGCCAGCACCAGCAAACATTGTCCCCACACGTAGGGACGCACACATTGGACAGAGGCTGTTTCCCACCAGAATCAAGAAACAACATAGAATAAAATAAATAGGCCAGGCATGGTGGCTCAAGCCTGTAATCCCAGCACTTTGGGAGGCCGAGGCGGGTGGATCACGAGGTCGAGAGATCGAGACCATCCTGGTCAACAAGGTGAAATCCCGTCTCTACTAAAAATACAAAAAATTAGCTGGGCATGGTGGCGCGTGCCTGTAATGCCAGCTACTCAGGAGGCTGAGGCAGGAGAATTGCCTGAACCCAGGAGGCAGAGGTTGCGGTGAGCCGAGATCGCGCCATTGCACTCCAGCCTGGGTAACAAGAGCGAAACTCCGTCTCAAAAAAAATAAATAAAATAAAATAAAATAAATAAATAAATAAATAAATAAATAAATAAATAAAATAAAAAGCAGCCGGGCCCGGTGGCTCAAGCTTGTAATCCCAGCACTTTGGGAGGCCGAGGCGGGTGGATCACAAGGTCAAAAGATCGAGACCATCCTGGTCAACATGGTGAAACCCCGTCTCTACTAAAAATACAAAAAAAAAAGAATTAGCTGGGCATGGTGGCGCGTGCCTGTAATCTCAGCTACTCAGGAGGCTGAGGCAGGAGAATTGCCTGAGCCCAGGAGGAGGAGGTTGCGGTGAGCCGAGATCACGCCATTGCACTCCAGCCTGGGTAACAAGAGCGAAACTCCGTCTCAAAAAAAAAATAAAAATAAAAATAAAAATAAATAAAACACAACTTAGAGTCAACCTGTAAATGTAGTTGGAGAAGTTTGATGGTCTTTGAATCTTAAGATTCTTAAAATCCTAACTATTGTATTTGGGGTATTCCTTAAGTATCTAGTTAAGTGAAAAAGGAGGCTAGCTGGAACAATTTTAACAATACAGAGAAGGCAAAAAGAAGAGGAAAAAGGCACGAAGTTGGGGAAACAGGTAACTTGGCTTTCTGGAGCTGGTTCACCTTACAAGTTATGTTTTGTTTGGGCTAACATGAGAATTAACTGGTGTTTCCTGCCAGGTACAGTGGCTCATGCCTATAATCCCAGTGCTTTCCAAGGCAGGAGGATCACTTGGGGCCAGGAGTTCAAAACCATCCCGGACAACATAGTAGTAAGACTTTGTCTCCACAAAAAATAATTTTTAAAAACTTAGCTGGATGTGGAGTTGTGTGCCTGCAGTCCCAGCTACCAGGGCAACTGAGGTGGGAGAACTGTTTGAGCCCAGGAGTTCGAGGCTGCAGCAAGCTATGATCAGGCCTGTAGCCCTGTACTTTAGCCTGGGCAACGGAGCAAGACCCTGCCTCAGAAACAAAAAATTAACTGGTGTTTCCTGGGTGGCCAGATAAAAAGCGGTGTGAAGGAAGACAAGGGCGGCCCTTGTTTATAGAGAAAACCTAATTAGGTTGGGAAATTCTCAAAAAACCCACTTCAATTCACGACTAATCCTCCATCTTAAAGATCTTACAAAGTTCATAACTTATTTCTATGTGAAATGAAGGCCTTGGCTGTGTCCTTTCATGCCTGGGAGCCCTGCCTAGTTTTACTTATAGACTCCAGGCAAGAAAGTGCAAATACATCTGAAAACACAAACAGGAGTATGAATAAAGGGGCCCAGGGGTGTCTACAACAGACTGGGAGCCAGGCCAGCTCCTGCCAAGGGAAAGTGTGAAGGCAGAAAGAAATGAGAAGTGAGAAGCGTCCTAGAGGAATATGAAGGGATTTGTAGCTTCTTAATCTGCAAAGATTAAGTTAATCCTGAGTAAAGCTGGAAGGAAGCAGGTGGGGAAGCAGACCTCTGCTGGCCCCAGACCTATCACGGCAAACCTGCAAAAGGGAAGAGACTGTCCCTGACACCTACCTCCTCGGTTATCAGGGACCTCATCTGAGGTCTGCTCAGAGCCCTGTCTCTCGGCTTTATTCCTGGGTGCCCACCCTATATCAGAAGGCTTTGCAAAGGAGGCTCTATGCAAGTCACTTACATCGCAGTTAGAACTTAAGTTCATTAACTCAGTACTGTTCACATTTTAAGTGTCTCACTCTCAGAATGTCAGGCCTTGCCATTTATTGGAGGAATCCTGGTTAAGAAACAGTTAAAATTCTAGCCCCCCCTTAGCCTCTAGGAGGCTAGAGACCTGGAAAAACTAAAATAGATAATTGAGAGAAGACCCTCAGGGCAGAGGGGTGAAAAGGGTCACAGAATCATCATGGGGTGGGGGTGGCAGGCTCCCTGGCTAACAAAGGTGGAAGGAATCCCAGCTGCAGGAGGCTTTATTTCATCTTTTTGGTAAAGCAGGTCACACTACAAAGAGAACCAGTCTCCCTCAACAGATAAAGGTTAGCCTGTCTTAAGAACAGTTTAAGCTTCTCCACCCTTAATAAGGAAGCTTCCTAAGATTTTTACCTTCATGCTTCAGTTAAGAAGTTTCTTTTGTTTTGAGATGGAATCTCGCTCTGTCGCACAGCCTGGAGTGCAGTGGTGATCTCAGCTCACGGCAACCTCCACCTCCCAGGTTCAAGCGATTCTCCTACCTCAGCCTCCCAAGTAGCTAGGATTACAGGTTCATACCATCACGCTTAGCTAATTTTTTTTTTTTTTTTTTTTTTAAGTAGAGACAAGGTTTCATCACATTGGCCAGGCTGGTCTCAAACTCCTGACTTCAGGTGATCCACCTGCCTTGGCCTCCCAAAGTGCTGGGATTACAGATGTGAGCCACCGTGTCCAGCCAGACGTTTCTTTTATTTGAATAAACTGAGTGAGATAAATCCTGATGTTTCAAAAAAGAAGGGAGAGAGCCTACTCCTAAGCTTTAACCTAAGGGACTTAATTCCAGGGCTATAATAGCGATCAGGGCCCACAGTGAGTGCAGAGCTGGGTGTACCTGGGTGTCATCACATTCTCCCAAGGTATGCACTAAAGAAAACTAAATACAAGTAAAATGAAAGTTTGAACTGGAAACAAAATCTATGCAGAATCCTGGGTTGCTGCACTTGAGGCTGGCGGCTGGAGCACATGCTGGGTGGGAGCCCTTGGATGGACTCTTCTAGCCACCCCCACCCCATGTGTCCCTTCCCCTTGCTGATGGGCTGTCAACTATAGCCCTGAGTCCTAACATCCTTTTAGCAAATCACAGAACAGGCAGGGAGTCATGGGACACTCCTCTTCCATTCAGACTCCATTCACAATGGCAATTACATAGCAAGGGTTAAAGTTTCAAAGTTAACCAGAGGCCCAGCACAGTGGCTCATGCCTGTAATCCTAGCACTTCGGGAGGCCGAGGCCAAGGTGAGTAGATCACTTGAGGTCAGGAGTTCAGGACTGGCCTGGCCATCATGCTGAAACCCTGTCTCTACTAAAAATACAAAAATTAGCTGGTGGAGTTTGTAGTGAGCTGAGATCGTGCCACTGCACTCTAGCCTGGGCAACAGAGTGAGACTCCCTCTCACAAAATAAATTTAAAATAAAGAAAGAAAGAAAGAAAGAAGTTAACCAGAAATCTGCAGAACCTGTATGAAGGAAATCATAAAACACTGAGGATCAACATAAAATAATGCTTAATGCTGCCTAATGGGAAGACCTTACGTTATAAAGATGTCATGTTTCTTAATAAATCATTTTGTAAGTATGATGTTACTGTAACCAAAGCCCTTAAAATATATATATATATATAGACACACATGCATATATTTGAAAAGTGTGTGTATGTGTATTTACACATACTTTTTATGTGTTTATGAGCTAATTCAAAAACTCATCGAGAACAGAGGTTGGCAAACCATGCCCCTCAGAACAAATCAACCCATGGCCTGTTTTGTAAACAAAGTTTAATTAGAACACAGCCTCATTTATCACTGTGGCTGCTCTGCACTGCCAGAGCAGAGCTGAACACTAGTGACAAACTGTTAGGGCTTGCAAAGCCTCAAACTGGTTTGCTGACCCCGATTTAGAAAAATAAATTGGTGAACACTGCCAAGAACACTTTGAAAAAGAAAAATAATGACAGTATTTGTGCTATTAGATATTAAAAAAAACCAATATAATGGTTTGGTGCTGGTATAAGAATTAGACAGATTAATGGAACTAAACAGAGGGCTCAGAAATAGATTTTAACAATTGACACAGGTCATACTTTGAACTAGTGAGGAAAGGATGAACCATTTGGTTTGTGTTGGTGAAACAACTATACACATTGTGAGATCAAAAAAAGTAAGATGCATACTATATCAAGACAAATCTTAGATGAATTAAAATTTTAGATGTAAAAAAATCATAAAGGAACTAGAAAAAAAAGATGAATTGGTATTTGTTCTTGAGGCATGGCCTTTATAACACAGAAACAAAAGCAGAAACATGCAGAGAAAAGATTGATTGGTAATATTCTTAACTTTCAAAAAAATATTAAAAGGCAAATGACAAAGATTTTTGTTAGAAAGAAGATTTTTCTAACACATGACAAAGAGTAGTTTCTTGCAAGCAACAGAAAATACATCTTAATAAAACAAACAAACAGCCAATAAACACAATCACTGATGATTAAAACAAGATTTTCTTTTTATTTAGAGATTTATAGACTCAAAAAAGTAGGGCACTCAGTGTTAGCACGAACCCAGGGAGACAGGCACTTCTGTGCAGATGAAGAGGTGTGAGAAACCCGCAGCATCTCAAGGGGGCAACTGGGCCTTACAAAGACCTGGGTCAAGAGGCATAATTCCACCTCTGGGAACGTACCCCACGGACAAGAGACATGCACCAAGATTTATGGATGAGAATGCTTATCACAGCACCTTCTATCACGGTGAGTAAGTACTATGGAGGTATTACAATTGTTTTTTCCTTTTATTGTATATATTTAAGATACACAACATGATGTTTTGATATACTCATCTCAGAATACACATAGTGAAGTGA